GCACCCTCCACACACTTCGGCTGTCAACACTTGTATGACACTGCAACACTGCAATCGGTTCATCAAACCCAACAACCCCCTTGCGGACGTGCCGCATAGTCGAGGCAACCGGCAGCTGCTGCAGCTAGAAGCAGCGGCACCAGCCGCAACTCCATCACAAGGGTAATGATGGGATGCTGTCCCGAGGCTTATGGCATTGGTATGAGTCTTTGATTCTTGTTTTTGCCGCTTGGTCCCTCTTCGTACGGATGCGGCATGTGCTATCCGAGTCCATATAGTCCATGCCATATAGTCTATATAGAGTGAGCGAGCTGAGCGGCTTGGTGTGGTACGTTACAGTATCCGCTTTGTGAAAATGTTGGTCACATCCGCTCTGCGGAGCTGGTGAGCCCATCACAAGGCCGACCTTCTGGCAGCCTTCTGGAATCGAGCGGCATGCCGGCACAGTGTGGCAGGGTGCTACGAGATCTGCCCCCTTCAGGCAATGCGAAGTATCATACGACAGAAGCAGAATTTACAAACACGATGTGTGAGAACAAGCGACGCATGCTGGTCATGCGGACCTACAGTACCTCCTCATTACAATCTTCAGCACCTTAGAGGCGAGAGCTGAGCACCTAAAGCAACTCCAGTAACTTGAACTACTTCTAAACAGACTTTAATTCAAGAGACTCGGAAGCCATGCTTTGGCTCGCCATGCAACGCAGAGAACACCGAAACGAGGCTACCTCTAAACCATCGTGCAAAACATCTTATAATTAGTGCAGCCCAAAAGATTGGATCTTGAAACAACCCTAGGCACCTCTCAGCCTCCAGGTCCATTGCGCGAGCACATCGTTCCCAGGCCTTGCACTCTCGAGAACCCAGGTCGCCTGATAAATTCTTACGACACCGGTCACTGACTGACGGGGTCGGCCGGTCGACCGACAAACGCACAAAACCCAACAAAACACCTCCAAAACGCCAAACAATAGCCAAAAACAAACCCACCCCAACCGCACAAGCAATTCCTCCGCGGCAAAGCACACAAAGACGAACCCCGTAAATGTGCATAATATACACGAAGCTGTGATTACGTTAGTCGCCACTTCGCTAGCGTCAGTAATGTCCGCAGTGTCGCTGTGGTGCTGTTGTGCATGAACGAAGTGGCCAGATACATGTCCAGAAGACCATGTGCAGGATCTGATTCCAGCTGTATTCTTGGCAGCTTCAGCTGAGGACGACTTAACATCTGCGATCACAGGAGCACAGGCTTTTGACTCTGTAAGTTTCCATGATGCAGTAGAAGCCAAAGCTTGAAGACTGTGGAGTGGAGCCTCGCCGGCGCTTGCTGGCTGCGCCCATCCTGAATTTGAAGACACTATAGTGTGCAGAGCTGTGAAGCACTAACAGTTAGGCTGATGGCTCTGAGAAGGCTGGTCTGCCAAATGCAGCAACTTCTTCTTGTGGCAGCTCCAATACGGTGTCTCTGGCACTTGCCCGCACGGGTTTGGGCAGTTCACAGCGGCAAAGCGCACCGGCCGTGGCTCCAAACTGTGCTTGAACATTGGCATGATCATGCGGGTTGCAGCCGGGCGGCCGAAGTTGCCCACAACACTGAAGCTGAAATGGGTGACGAAGGCAGTGCAGTCTCGAGGCTCGTAAAACCTCTGCTGCCACCAGGCGGTTTTGGACATCAACCAAATGAACAGATTCTCGGCGCCATCCAGTCAATTGTGGACATCGATTTCTCATTCAAAACTATGCCGTCAATTGCAGCTTCTAGCCAGCGGTGAATGATAACTTTGCAGAGGGGAGCTCGATCCCACAAGAGCTTGCCAGCAGCATGAAGCACATTCGGGGGGGGGGGGGGGGAAGTGCGGGGGTGCAAACTTCCAAAAGAAACCCTCCACTGCATCATCATCATCATCGTCGTCGTCGTCGTCGTCATCATCATCATCATCATCATCGTCGTTTTCCCTGATGGCGCAAGATGGAGTGAAGCACGCAGTTGTAGCTCATTCATCTCTGCAAATCAAATCTGAGCTGGCTTTCTGACAAGCAGCTCACCGCAGCAGCTTTCGAAGGTGAAGGCTGCCCCATCCCAGCCTCTCACGTTGTTAGCCTTGTCATGTACCAGCTCACCTTGCGGCCTTTCGGGAGAATCGTAGGAACGCATGGAGTCACATTGCGGAGGAGCTGCAGTGGGAGTTCCCTCCAGGACCAAAGATGGCGTTGCAACACCTCAATTTCTCAATGCATCTGCAGCAAGGAGGAGCCGAAACCCTGGTGGTAAACTCGGAGGCTGCATCCGTACTGGCAGAAGGCAGTTGATGCTGAGCACCATGCTGCCCACGAGTAATGCCGTCTGTCCAGCAGTCCAGCTCAGCAGCATAGCTTGGCCTCACTTTGGCAGACTTTGGCACATTCCCCTTTAAAGCTACAGCAATTCTCCGGATCAATGGTCCATCAGGGCTAAGTTGAATATGCACGAGAAGTGCACAACATGTGCACGACATCAAAGCAGCACTGGCACACAGCAACTTCAGAGTCTCAGTTCTGGGTGTCTTCCCACGGAAACATGACTGAGGCCGAGAGTTGCAGGTGCTTGGGAATGCTTTGGGAATCAAAGGCCACGAAGTAAAGTAACAAGGCTAACAAGGCAACCTCACGAATTCATCTCACTTGCAGGCCTATGAATAATCGGCAGCCCGGGAACGCAAGAATCACCAGCGCCCGTCGAGCAAAGCGTCGGGAGGACATGGTGGGTGCAAAGCGCGCTAATTGTTATTGTGAATGAGTGTTGGAGATGGAAAGTGGGAGTGACAGTGTAGAGGGTCTGTGGTCGTTGGTTTGTGTCTTCACCGTGGGGAGAACCTTCTTTTTGCTGGTGTTTTCATTGGGCAGTATTTATTCTGTCCGTCCTTTCATTTTTTGGGACGCTCTGTGGTGGGTTCGCCGCATGCTCCTCCACGTTGCGAATGTCATTTTCGTGGCTCAGGCTTGCTGAACATCAGCTGTGAGGCCGGCCCCCAGAATTTCTACCGAACTCTTTCGTGTGAGCAAGCTCTGACTGACCAGCCAAGCAGCACCTTTCTGGATGAGCGCCGTGCTGCCAATTCTGCACCGTTGTAGGCGCGAGTGCACAGGCACACAACGTTGGGACTACAGTGGAACAGAACCACGACGCAAGGATCGCAAGGAGCTTGCCAAAGCCATGTCCTTCCATCACTGCGACTTTATACCGGCATCAAGTCTACAAGTTCTCTTAGCTAATGCTGGCAGACTCATTCTATAGACTCGGCAGTCGTCGACCAGGAATTGGACTGACTCAAAAACAGCGCCTGACTTGGTGCGGCTTGATTCTGATTCTGCAGATTCTGTAAGCACGCTCTCCGGGACTTCTGCGCATTTCTGCACCTCGCCTCCCCAGACATATATAAAAATGGAGGGATGTAAACATATCTATATACATATATATATATATATCAAATTAAATGGGTTGCGACAGCCTGAAAGAGGAGCTAGAAAGTTCCATTCCATGTCCACAGCGCTCTGGCGATCTGAAAAAGCGTGAAACGCTGGCGCGAACGCCGACCTCAAGAGAGAGAGAGGCTTCATGAAGAGTTGAGTCACATGTTCCATGGGCACGATATGGGGTTGAGCAATTCCGACACTTCGACACTTGTACAGCCTCCAACTCGCACGCATCCTTGACCTCCAAATTACCACCGCTTCGTTCTCGGCACGTGTAGTAGAGCTGCCATAAGGTAGAAGTCGTTCAGTAAACTACAGTACTGTACTTGTTTGGCCAGTGCACATTGCTTCGCACAGGAGGTGCGATTGGCACGCCTTTGGCGACAAATCTTCTCACTGTGCGGGGGTCAGCCTCGGATCAGTACTGATTTCGAATTTTGAATACTGAGTGCCGGATCTGTTTTGGCAGGCGGTCGCGAGAGGGTTCCTGAGCTCTGGACCCAGGACTGAGCTACTAGTCCACACTTTCCACGGGCAGGTCCTCCCATTCTGCTCTGCTTCTGCAACTGTCTTGCAAGAGAGGCTGTTTCGTTGCAGGCCTCCGGGCCCGTAACAACCGTTCTTATGAGTACCATCGAAACCGCAATTAGCAACTGAAGTGCCCTGTCCTCCCAGCCGCCAGCAGCGGCGTCTGGGTCTTTCAGGAACCAGCTTCGCTTGTCTGCCAGGAACTGAAACCTGCTGGCTGCTGCAGACCGGCAAGAGACCAAGCTTGGGAATTCACGGTACAGTCCACGATGCAGGGGCCAAGAACTAGCGCAAACTCTGACATGAGGCAGGTGAGTCCCCAGCAGCGTCTTGGCAACCTCCGGAATCACTTAGGGCATGCTCCGTAGGGTCACGTGGTCTTGCATGGATACAGTACCACAAAGGTCGGACGACGCAAAGCCAAATGCTTGCAGAGCTTCTCAGAGTTGTAGTTCACAACCATCTGAAAAATTGTGATTCTTAACTTCTGTTGTTTGAGGAGTGGTTGTTCTCACTGCGCAGACAGCTGGTTCTACCTCCCCAGCTTTTGCAAGGGTCTAAACTTCTTGCGTGATGAGCGTGCAGCACCGCTAGCAAAAGCGAATTCCGAGAAATACCACTTGGGTATGAGCTTAACAGATGGAAGCCTTTGGCTGCTCCTCGGCAAGCCTTGCTTCCGGACATGCCGCGGAAATCTGAGGCAGTTCGCGGCACATGCCGGGGATCTGGGGGAAAGGTCGGTTGTGCAACTTGATGCTACATAGTGTCTCATGCTACTTCTTATCTCGCTTCCAAAGTTTCAATTTGCAGGGCCAGTGCGCACAGCCCAGGCTGTCTTCACCATGGACCTGCACCTGTCTGTGAAACCCTGGCCCTGATCCCCCAATGAACGGCATGACCTCTGCTTCAACACGACATAAACGTACACCAAAGTTCCGCGAATGATGCAGAGACTTGCAGAATCTTGGGCTTGTTGAGCGCAGCGCTTAGGCCATGCCACACAAGCGGTCTCTTGCTCAGAAAGCTTTCGGCACGCTGGTGTAAGGTGCTGGCTGGCCCTGCACCTGAGTTGGCCAACTCTCAACTCTACACACCGGCAGAGACAAACAGGAATGCCGCTTCGGCCCACAAAACGAGTCAGAACAGACTTTTGTTGCGCTGGGCTCAGAGATGTAAGTCTGCCAGTCGCATCTAATTAGCCGGCAAGGCTTGCGAGCTCTGTGCCCAGAGCAGGAATTCCTCAACGATCATCATCCAGCAGAAAAGCCAAAAGCCTGGCTCAAGTAGCTGCCAAAGCGCAGGCTGGCCAACCGCCACAGGCTGGCCCACAACCATTGCCCTCAGTTTTGGTGTGTGAATTGACTCAGTTAACAGCGGCTCAGTGCCCAACAAATTCAACAAATATTCAGATCGATTATTGGTATGATTGGTATGATTGCGAGCGCAAGCCAGTTGACCATGCCGGAGTCTTCAAAGCCCTGATCTTGCAATGCAAAACACGATGGGACATGGTACCGGCAGCGGGCAGCATGGTGCAGAAGGAACCCTGCATGCTTTGTAGTGTTGTACCAGAGCTTATTAAGTTAACAGCTTCATTTCACCATGAAGAAGATAATGGTCGAAACGATGCTGGTGAACACCCGAACGCAATCAAAGTCGGGCTTCACACGCCTCACACCTTTTCCTAAAGGCTTATACTGACGAAGTGAGTCGTAAGCGCGACTCGGCTGCACTGGTGCCGGGCCGGAGGTCTGGAGCGGCCAGTGTGCCAGTGTGTCCATTACTTGGCGGTACTCCCTCGTGCCTTGGCACGGCAGGCCTCGGTAGCTCACGTCTTCTGCTTCTGATGCTGAAAGCTGCAGAACTGGAGCCTTCAGCGAGGACAGACCCTTGTGTCACCAACACTTGTGAACAACGTCCAGAGCCTCTTCAAAAACGAACGGCAAACTGGCGGTCAATTCGCCTTGGCCCTCGCCATGAGCGTCAGGAGTTCTCATCGGGGCCCCCTCCCTAATGACCGATTCATGCGGGAAGTGGGTTCTTCGGCCCTCACCATCAAGCCAGGGGACGGGGCTTCAGAACCCAGGCCAAAAAACACCAAGATCCGCTGTGAGGCCGGGCCGTGGCGGTCGATGTGCAGATGTTTCCATATACAGTTCGCCCTATTGACTCTATTGATGCGGCGTGCCTAACTTTGGCCTAGATCTAGGTACTGCTGCACGGCCCAGGTGCACCAAAGCCAGCAGCAGCAGTCGCGCATGAAGGTCTGCCAGCCTCAAGACCATTCAGTTCTTTTGGGGGCCGCCTTGGGAGTTTGAGCTAGCAGAAACTCTTTCCAAAGTGGGTCCTTTCTCTGGCCCTGGCAGGGAATAGCCTCACAGGGTCAGCATGGCACTGGCCAAGAAGCCATCGTGGGAGATACCATAGCGCTGTCGAAAGGGGATGATGCTGCCCATCCCGGCTCCTGGACTCGAGTTCACTTGTGCGCCAGGTTACTGGCTTCTAGACTCTGTAAGACGAAGAACAGGTCTTGCAAAGGACAGCTGGTCAAAGGTCAACAACTGCCTACAAGCAGACTGAAGATAAAACTGGAGGGGGCATGTCTGAACAGCACGAGCACGCTTGGAATCTTGCTCGGAGTCCTTCGGTGTCCTCGCTGCAGAAGCCCAAGCCTCCAGTGCCCGCCGCAAGGCCGACGACATAGCAGCAGCCTGATCGAATTTGGGCAAACTCATGGGGTCCACAGCATCTTGGATCCAGCAGCTTGGAAACTCTGCCAAGTGGGTGCCAAGATTATCAAGATGCTACAAAGGGACATGACAAACCCGCTGGAAACAAAAAATGGAGGACGGGAAGCTCATGGCTTCCTGCAGCAGGCAGAAGCCGCAGCAGCCCATGAAAAATCTGCGGACAAGCTTTGGGACGAGTGGCTTGGCTCTTCTCAACTGGGGCCCCAAGTGCAGCATCATGCAAGCCTCTGTTCCCGGCCCCTCCGCTCTCCGACGGAGCCCAATTCTCAACCCAGCAGTTTTGTTGGGTTGCCGTGCCGTGCTGGCGCGCGCTGTTGAAGAAACCATTGGCTTAGGTTATATACCCCGGCCCAGAGGTGATACCCCCCATGACGTGCAGCACTTGTTTCTTTTCACCTGGGACTCAGCATTGTGAATTTCGGGGTACCCTCAGGCCACGGGATGACAATGTTGTCGTGTGCACTTATTCCATTGACTTGGGGCTTGATAATTGCCTCACATGTCTGATGACGCACCACAAAGAGCTCAAAGCGGGATCTTGGGACTGTAGTGCTTCTGAAGCACTCAGCTTTGGCTGGGGTAACTTACGTTTCAGGAATCATGGGTTCCGGGCCTGCGTTATGGATCCCATTCCTGGAGTTTGCAACGTTGCAATTTGGAGGGATCTGTCCCCTTAAATAAGACATTCGGAGTTTGGGAAGGTTTGGTAGAGTAGGCGGTCGCTTCACATGATCCAAGCGAAGTGTTTTTGGGATTTTGCTGGTGCTAGCAAAGTTTGCGGTCTTAACGTTAAGATATCCAGGGCGCCCTGACCTGGCCACATCGCTCTCATCGATCGATGAACTTTCTGATCTCGCACTTTCACAGTACTAAGCACACAGTAAACCATTTCCGCAGCCAAGGCTCTGCCATCCAGGGCATCCTGCAACATGTTCTGGGCTGTTTCGTGAACTGGCGTGTAGGTGTCCAGATCGGTACCAGTACCTCGCAACAGACTTGCGCGGCTGGCTTCGCACAGATGACTATATTCACAACGTAAGATTCGTGGCGACTGCAATGTACATGCTGCTATATGTTCTTGCATTCGCCTGATGGCCTTTCTCACCTTGACAACACTGCGTACTGCAGTCGCCTTCGTTCGGGTGCCACAGCTCCAAACTCTTGTTCTGTCTGTGCTGCTGACTGATAGTAACTCCTAGTGGAAGCAAAGAAATATTGAACGAATTATTCAGGTTCGTCAGAGCAGCTGTGATTGCCCGGGAGGTGTCTCAGATTGTTGCTCTCTCAGTTTAGGAATGGGCAAATTAGGGTCCACTGCGGACTATACCGATGTGTGGTGGAGTGACCTACCTGTCGGGGATTGCAGTGGATTACCAATCAAGTTGTGTAGATCCTCGCTACATTGGCCACACACAGTACATTCAAAGCAATTCTCCGAAATCTTCCAGGTGGTGGTCTTTCAGAGCTACTTTGCGACACAGCGTTTCAGCCTGGGCCTGTCTTCATATAATTCATGCTTGCGAGGTGGCTACCTCTAGTATTCGCAGGACGAAACCTGTTGTCGCAAAAATGGGTGCTGATACCATTTGATGCCTCTCACACCGCCCAAATCCCAAGACCCTCGAGATCAAAGGTAATTAGGCGGGATGCTCACTCATTGTACAGCAAGGGCATAGCAGGAAGCACACGCAGGTTCCGCAGGCGCCGAAGAATTCCCAGTGACCTGAGAAAAAGCTACATCGAAGATCAGTGAAGAAAGTTCGGCCAAGCACACTTCTCAGGCACACTAAGCACAAGCAAGGAACTACGAGTGTGTGTGGGCTCATTCGCAGCGTCCGTGTGGGCAAATTGAAAACTTCTGGGCCCATGCTATGCCGGATGCTGCTGGACTTGTTAGGCCGATTGGTGTCAAGGAGCCATACTTCCACTTCCCCGTCAATTCTTGGGGAATGCTGACATCTCGGGGAAGGAACTTCTCGTGTGTTGGCAGAATGAAGCAGCGCCAGTACAGTGCCGCCAGAGGGAGTCCAAGGCAGTGGCCTGTACCAAAAACTATGAAATCAGGTGCAACATCCCTTCTGCCACCTGCATATCTCCGTCAGCTCTACAACTTGACCACCACCACCGATAAGGACTTTTTAGCTTTCAGGGCAACAGCAGTAGGTCTACATCAGGGGCTTTTATTTGGGATCTTGTGTCGACTTAAGGGTCCGCTCCCCGAAGCAAGCATTGGGGGGCTGCTGCATGTTGTCAGGATGACGGTAGCTTGTTGCGTGGGGGGTTGAGCAGGTGGGGGGGGGCGGGGGGCGGTGAGGGGGCTGGTTGGTGCGGGGGGCGGGGGAATGAATGTGACGTGGCCCTCCCATGCGCCCAGAACTGAACTACAGACTATCCAGTATGGGGCGTGCAGGTGAGTTAGACGGTGAGTGAGACTAGGTACAATTCCTACCGCCACGGTTCCTACATGGCATCATGGTCGCCACGCCGAAGCGAAGAAATATGTAACTTCATGACCCACTGCATCACTGCTACCTCACCACCACAGGTAGCAAGCACACGAGCAACACAACAGCAACAACAATATGACAACATGGACAACACCAGCAAGAGCCGGAAAAGCTGCAACGGCACTTTCCCCTGCTCCTACTACGACGACTTGCCACGGCCGGCCTAGCAGGATCACGACCCAAAGGGTTCCGCCATTCGTGAAGTGGTACCACCTCACCCCATCATCGTCCTGACATGCTCCCACTTTCATTTCCTGAAACTTCGGGCGGAAATGTGGGATTCTGTCAGTGCTCAACTGGCCTGGTGACATGAAACATGCTGTTGCTCAGGCTCAGAAGATTGGCCTTAAGCTATAATTTGGCGGCAGTACTGCCCTTTCTTCAAACCAATGGAAGCGCTCTGGGCAAGCACTCTGCCGCCGACCTACACATGGTGGTGCTGCCCCTTTCGGGTTTCAGCCTTTCAGGCGTGGGTGCCTCTTCTGGTAAGTTTATGTTCTGACTAAAGATTCTTTTGTTCCACTGTCTCTCAATTCTTTGCGCTGACTTATGCAGCAAGTGCACTGCTGAAGCGCCCCCTGGGATTCCGGTGTGCAGGTTCCGGTGCGGATTCGGGTTCGGTTTCGGGGTTCGAGTTCTGTTTTTTTGGTACAACGTTTTGTTTGCTCTTTGATTCAGCTACTACTGTTACTCATATTTCCCTCTTTTTTCAGACAAAGGTTGACAAACGTTGCTACTTTCGGGAGGGGGATTCGCTGTCGCAGTCCTGCTTCATGATTCCAGGATCGGAGAACTCTATCTGGCGGCATGTCATGTCGGTGCTTGGGGTGCTCCTGGAAGTTCTGTCATTAATGTATGAACTAAGTAGTCTCGCCAGTTGCTAGGCGACTCTTGATCGCCCGAAGACCAGGTGCAGGGCACTTCATGTTGATTTACAGTTATCCTGCCTGCTCGATGCCTGAAACTGCGCAACACCACGAGTTAAACTTGAACCTTGCCCTTCTGCACGGTGTCCTCTGTCTGCAAGCGCCGTGAAGAGTCCGTTCTGTCGAGCGCGAGGTCGACCACCAGAAGCGCGGAGATTGCCAAGGCTACCTCAAACAGCACAATTGCATGTAGCATGTAGTCATAGCATATAAAAACATGCAGAAAAATGAGTGGAATTCAACCAACGCTTGTTCATGTTCCACCCTCGTTTGCTTGAGCGATTGTTTGGCGGGCTGTCTTAAGGGCGGCCGTCGAGAGTCCAAGGGAATGCTTTTTAACGTCAAGCTTGCCGGTCCGACCTAATGCTATTGGAGCAACCCGGGCAAAAATTATTTCACAAAGCAAGCCCGGAGCAATTCGTTTCACACTCGCTTCCGATGCCTAACTAACCCCCTCCCAACTATAAGGCACTTGAGGCCCTGGCCAGCAGGGCCAGCAAACCGAAAACTGTCCCGCAAAGTGCCCCAGGTGATGGGCCTGTCGCGACGATGGCTCAGAGGCTGAAAAAGTTTCTGGTGCGTAGCAGTTTCTGTAGATGTCAATGGACGATATACTTCGCTATGTGCTAGCTGGCAACACTTCAACAATTTCCAAACGCAAGAAATGCAGCTACACGCATTCAGATTGGAGCTACATGTATAATTCGCGCTTCCCATGCACGCCCCCCTGTGTCGCAAGCGATAAGACAGTGGTGAAACTCATTGAAGGCCAAGTCTCCTTTCCGTCCCATGGCATGCGAAAGGGGTGGAAACAACGCTGCGCTTGAGGTCGGCAGAGTGGATCTTCTTTGCTGGGCGGTGACAATGCCAATTAGATTGCGCATCCCCGGTTTGAGAAAACTGGACACTTCAGAACCATGTGTTCAGAGCTACTTCTGGGCATCAAAAAGGCAGCGGCATAAAGTGGTCATCTCCCAAGGACACCTCACAAAAAGCGCCCATGGTGTCATTGCACTTTGCGACTACGCCATTTTGAGGAACTCATGCATCCAGTGCAAAAGCTACTCAAGCACTCTGACTTTGCAAAAACCTTATTTCTATTACTCTGCAGCTGTAGACCCCTACCCGCCACTGACCAGTTGCTTGGACTTACCGATTTTCTGCGTCTGGCATCCGCGAACAAATTCGACGAGGGCGCAGGGCGGGAGGATCCGGCTAAAGGTCCTCGTGAAGAACAGGCCAGATGAATGGTTCTCGCTGATTCCATTCTTGCATTGTGCGCACAGCCACTACGCAGCCTCTAGACTATTGAGACCAGGTCAGTACGGGCAATCTGCTCCAAGATGGACTGTTCTGAAGAGCATTATAACTCTGCGCAGTCTTCAGGCAGCAACTCAACAACCTCAACCAACGCATGCCCCTCACACCCGCAACTCAACAGAGTTCGGAGTCCTGTTCGCCAACTTCTTTGAGAGGGTCGAAGCGGCAGCATGCAGCAGATGCAGCAGATGCAGGTGAAACATCCAGCACCAACCGTGTATGTGCTGTAACAGGGCTACGCGAGTTGCCATGGTCAGTACGAAAGCATGTCTTGCTCAGTGCTTTACTCTAGGCTTTACCTATTTCGTTTCCCTGATGTTTCGGTGGATTGTAGAGTGCCTCTTCGGCACGGGGCCGCCCAAAGGCAAAGGCCCCTTGCATTTGCAGATTGGTGCCGCTTCGCTACTTTGCGTACCGTTTGCACAATTGAACTCGAAAGGTAGCCGGCAAGCGCAATCACACGTTTTACAGAAGTAGGTTTAAGTTGGTTCAAGCGCGCAAAAGCACTGGAACTGCAAGGCCTCGGAATTGCGCACTTCATTGCTGTGTTGCTTAGCAAAGGACTTGGCGCTAACAGATGCAAAACCCATGCTCATCTCATCTTTGTGTTGTGCCTTGCAGGTTGAGGGTGTTTGGGCGAGGCCAAATTCACATCCTTGTGCTTTCTTGAAGCCATGCCTAATGTACCTGGGCTTTGTATTACGTGGCTAGAGTCTGTCAGTGTAACCTCTGAAGCCTAGACTAGTATGTCTGTGCGAAGTGCCAGCTCCATGAGGCATAGTTCTGCCTTGCTTGCTATGCTACATCGTTCGGCCACTCGCCCTGTGTGCCAGCTTCTTTGCATGGAGGCAGCTTCGGCCAGGCCATGCAAAGTGGCTCGAGTCGACTGCGCAGAACATACTTTTACAGTGGCTCATAAAAAGAGAAGCTGCGTGCTCACGAACTCACACCTGGTTCATGGATATAATTACCGACCACACCGAATGGCATGTAGGCCTATGCCACGGTCCTCGTAATTCCGGTTTCCTCTACGTGTGCTCAAGTTTCTTGGGTGGTTACGCTGGTTGCCTTCGCTGCCAAACCCATATCCAAGCATGCAAAGCCAAGTGCACGTAAATAGAACTATCTCCTTTATGGCAAAGAGCCCACCTGCTGCTGCACCCAGAAAACCCCAGAACTATTTTCGCTACATTACAACTAGAAGCAAAGTTTGTCCTTGTACGCTCATGACGAATTGTGTGGCTGCCCAGAGTGATTGCGAGTGGGGGCAAATCGTCGGCTGTGTCTGGTTTTTTCACAGTCAGACTCAGGCACTAGGGCCAACAGCTGCTGACACCAACAGCTTTTTGAATAACATGTGAAAAAGCATTTGCCATCTAGTAGGCGCATGCTGACGTATCATGCGCTTTAGCTATCTAAATATTTAATTGGCGAATAGCTGATATTGCGCCAACTAGGGGGCAGTATGACTGATGCAATCCATTTCGACCATCCATCTTGATCAGCTGGTCTTCGTTTCCGTGACCATTTCGAGCCTTAGTTCAGGAAGCTCGGGCAAGGTCCGTCAGAAAGCTCAGCTCTATAGCTCAGTAAACTCAGGAGGTCAGGGATGTATCAGGTTCTCCCGCCGATGCTACCAACTTAGGGGGCTGAATGAAAGAATCCTCTGTGTAGATTTTGCGTGGAGGAGGAGTCAAGTCGCCTCTCGGGCGACTGCCACGAGCTTCAAAAGCTCAGACAAGCCAATCGCTTTCGGACTCGCACCCTTCCCACTAATTATAGCACTTATAGAGTGCAACAGCTCCATGCCTGTTGCCGCTGACTGTGGAAACATGTGCCATCTGGTATCTCTGCGTCATCCGATACGGAACTGCGCACTGCTTTGTCATAAACGGCATACGGACACATCAGAGCAACACGACCCAAGCAGACAGGAGTAAGGCCTGAATATTGGCAGCCCGGAAATGCACAATCCTGTGCTGCACAAGTTGCAAGTGCTCCATCTTTTGAAGCTGGAGGTCCATGTCTGTGAGGTTGGGATCGGTGTCCTCCGTCCTGCCACGTGGCTTGGATGGGTGATAGTCCTAGTAATGTTTAAAGCAGAGGCAGTCCAGCCATCGAAAGCAAGTCATTCCGGTGGTTTGCTCCTGACCACTCCAATGCGAAGGTTCGGGGACAACTTCAGCGTGTTGACTCCGCCACGATCGTCACCTGTAGTGCACATTCCATCCATATGACTTCACCATCTTCTGGCGTCTGGGTTTGAGGTCAGTTTTGCGTCAAGCGCGGATCGGCCCAATGCACTCCTCACAGACTTGTAGGGCAGATCACTGGAGCTTCGTGCAGGGATGCACTTTTTCTGATCACGGCTACTGAGGATGAATGGAATTGAGCGTGACATACTATAGTGTGGCCCTTACAAAGCAAAAGAGCAGTCTGAAGGTAGTTTATGTTCAAGCGTTCAGTATGTATGAGCACAGGCACCGACGATAATGATGGGCTCGCTGCTGCTAAATGCCACGTGCGTGAGCTTCGCCCGCTTCACCACCTTCAAAGAACACAGAACCTAGCACAGAATTCCACAAAGCAGGTTGGAACACAACACCATGATCCAGGCGGGTTTGCCCGTCAGATTTGAGATGCCGCTTGTCTACTGCTTGTGCAGCGCAGAGGACGACAGTCTTTCGAACGGCAGGGGCAAGCTAACAAACCCAATCACGGCAAGAAACAAAGCAGTTGCATATCCTTTCCTCTTCTGCATCCCTCATGCACGTGCGAAGATGACCAGCACTCAAGCCTTCTGTGCACAAATGTGCTCGTTGCGATTGACTGACAGGTCCTTAGGAGTCGGTCTGACAAACTGCGGGCCGATTTGGTGGGTAACCTTTCCTGCTGCCTGCTTTCCCCACACGCGCTGACAGGCGGAATTGTTCGGCTACTTCCTGTCCTGCCGCAACCTCTCCACACTTATCTTGAATCAGCATGACTCCACATGGCATCGGCAGTCCCAGCGTCGTATATATGCACCACGCCAGAGGTAGAACCGCCAGCGCCATCCTTAATCAAAGGATTGTAGCAGTAAAACACGAGAGAAGAGAGAACGAGAGGGAGCGCGAGCGGGACGTGTCGAAGTCCATCCCTTGATACAGCAAGCCCTGGCTTGGCTAAACCCTCGGAAGCTGCGCAAATCAAAAGAGTCCTCAAGGACCAAAAATATCAAAAATCAACAAACAGGACCCAGCCCAAGCTCGGATGTGATGGCAGCAAATGTGGTCGACGAGTATGGCGCCCAGGCAACATCGCCAATTGCCTGGCGAAACAGAACGGGGGGGAGTTGCCGCTTCCAAGTGGAAAATACTGACTATTGCAACGCTTCCCCCTGTGACTAACAATTGTGAAGGTCACACGGCTAAGATGTCACACCTGTGAGCCTAAGGGTACTTAAATGGTTCAAAGGGTCCCCTTATATACTGCTTATATACCCTACACAAGTTAAGGGGCCATACATCAGAACCGCTTAAATGAGGTTAGGGACCATATTAAGGGCCCAAGGGCTCATGAAACTGAAAGGTCATCACAAACTATGCAGTTACCAGCTAAAACTGCGCAATACAACTGTCGCAAAGAGCGGTTGGGTAAGGCCGGGTCCTGAGAAAGGTCGAAGGACAGTATCGCAAATCGGTTCTCATGGTTCCACAGCTTCACTGTCCTGGCGGGGTACGACGCGATCTCGGCGCAAGGCTTGCTGCTAATCACCAAAGGTGCCGAACATCAAGGCGCTTTGCAGCCATTCCGTGCTCCCCCTCACTACTGCTACCATGGCTCCAGTCAGCAGAAGCCGAAATGAAAATCTTCTCGTGGAACCTTGGCGCAGACTAGCGTCTCTAGCGAGTTCGATTCTTGCGCGCGGGGGACTATACTCAGAAGCAACATCCTGTCAACCGTGTTCAATTCGCCACGGCACCGTAGACAAACCACTTGCTACAACAGCCTAAAAAGTCAAATCTGCAAGCTCTTCTTAAGTCAAGGAAGCGGGTTCCAGCGGACGCTATACACTGCCATGGTGTGGCCCTCATAGGTCTCCAGGTACTGGCCACTGAAGGCCTGACAAAAGAGGGCGAGCAGTAAATATATCAGCCACTCCTCAAGTGCTAAGCAGAGGCACGAACATGTGGCAAAAAACGCTTCATTGTCAGTGCTGTCAACGCCCTACCATCTAGGTACAATATGGTACAATGATGGGTCCCAAGCCATGGCTCCCCTACGAACGAGCAGAAAGCAGTCGTGGGCAGTCTGTGTGTAACCGCTCTCCACGCGGAGGCGTGTCATCTGAGACATGTTAGCAGCGACTGCGCCCCGAAGCCTTCGAGCACTTGTGGATGCGTCCTTCCTCTGTGCCCACGAGGAAGAGGTGGCTGTGATCGCTATGCGTGTGGAAATCAAAGCCTGGGGCACGTAGTGGCCGAAATGCCAAGATGCTGGGGTCTACTTAAAATGTCAGGTCAGTTCGACCGGATCGTTTGCTATAACAGAAACACTATACCCACCCCCCCCCCCCCCCCCGACTACCCGAATGCTCATCCAGTGCCTGAGCGAAGCCTGCAATTGCATGCCACAAACCCCTACTGCATCAAGGTCGAAGTGACAAAGTCCACCAGCCAAGCCAGCCAGCGATGTCTCGTCCTGGAGCTGGCTACTTAGCATTGATTTGCACACGCTGCACACGACGAACGAAACCTGCCAGCAGCAGTTGTGCTGCATCTTCCTGGCCTCAAGCCTTAAGCTTCACTGCTGGCCTGGCTGAACTCCCTGGTGCCGTCAAAAGATGTCAACAGCATCCTACAACTCTGAACTAAAGAGGGGTTTGGTCAGAAGCTGGGAGGTTAGAATAAGCCAGTTCCTTATCAGATGTCGGGGCGGCCCGCATAGCTTCTACCGAAAGCAAAATCGTCCGCCGCACCTCCTCACCGACACCGGGGCTACCCATCAGCTTCCTCCGTTGGCCGGCAAGCTGCATTGAGCTTGTCATTATTTGTTGCATGCTGTGTGTGAGGAGCCAACTTCCGGGCTTCTTGTGATCTGACCGTAGCAGCGAAGCATAGCGAGCTCTCTGCGGGGAATTACCCAGGTCTGAGCCGTACTGATTTTGCCGCTGAGTGGCAGCTCCATGACCTCCTCACTCTCCAGCTTGTTCTTCAACAAGAACCTCGGTTTGCGTCTGAAAAGCCTAGGGCCTAGCGTCAAAATAAAAGATTGCAGAGGTTTGACATGGTTTGACTGTCGATGTATGCGATATCAGGGCTTTCAGGGAAGAATACATCACGGCATGACGTGTTCTCCGAAGAGTCTCCAGTCACCCGCCTGAGCCGGTGGCCCAGCTCTCGGGTGACCCTGAAAGTCGCACTTTCGCCCCTGGCACTCCCAGACGGGCGACCAGTTGGACACCCGACCATCCGAAGAGATCGAATAGAAGTTGAGCGCGCCGGTGGACTCGTCGTTGTTCCATCGCACCTGCAGGCATGCTTAAGCAACCTCCAGGACTCCGCTGTCACACTTTCCAACCACTTGAAACTTGTCACGGCAAGTGGGCATTGCATCAGCTGAGCGTGCTGACAGCTCCACTAGTTCAACTTGATGAAGCCACCGATGCATACTCTTCTGGTAGCAGATTGCTGCGCTGAGTGCTGCTGGCTGGGGAGCAAGCGCTGCAAGCACGCGCGATCTTCACACGAATGGGCGTGTTGTAGTTTGCAAGCACGCAGTCAGAGCAGCCTCCCAAACCGGATCTGTGTGCTTGTTGGTGCGCACAGTACTCCTCAGATATAGTGCAGGATTGAGCAGGAATCCAAAAACACCGTTTCCACCTGGGCCCTGTGCTGTGAACAACGCGTAAGCTCATCACTGACCTGATCCTAATCCTGCATGCACCGACATCTTCGGATAAGAGTCTGGTATATGGGCTTCTTTGTGCGGGCACGGACGTCGTAAACTAGGACTGTGCCATCGTACAGTCCCACGGCAAGGACCGCCGGGTGAGCTGGATGCCAGTCCTTGGATTCTGGACTTCACACATCTCGGATATCATCGCACATGCTTTGCTGGTGTGGATTCTCCAAGTCGGTTTGTGCATATTGTGTGTGCGTGGATGTCCGATGCGTGTGGCGGCCCAGCAGGCTCACAAGACTGTCGTCCTTGGTTGCCGAGCGGCCAAAGAGCAAACACCTGCATCTGTGTTGAAGACATACTCGGGGAATCGTGTGTTCTTCAAGGAATAGCAGCCTGAGTCGCGGCTGCTTGTGTTCGGAGTTTGCCGTCTATCCGCTTCTACTGCGTGATGCTGCATGCTCTGTTGTGGCTGCCTTTCGCATGAAGAGGGAAAGAGGGACCTTGTATACTAATTGTATACATTAGACGCGCTATCTCAGAGGGAAGCATGGGAACCTGGCAGCCTGGCATGTCAATCTGTTTGTTCAGACAAGGCGCATATCACACCAGTCCCTTGTCGCATGAAGTCATACGAGCCGAAACCAACCGCGCACAAGTCGCTGTAGTGTGGGTTCCACTTAATGCAGGTCACCTGAGATCTTGGGAGAAACGTGCGGTGTGTTGGATACAACCTGTCAGCCCCTGATCAACTGGCCACTCCTTGCATATGTAACTCTATGCAACTTCATTGTCTGCATGAAGCTCCTTGTTTAACTGGTGCGTGGCACAGCTTCTTCACGACTGTGGGCGTGCAGCGGAGTCTATGTTTGATTCTCGATAATTCTCGGTTGGGCATGTTTGGCGCCTGCTTCTTCTTGGCCTTCTCCGAGGAGAAGCGCCAGAGCGGTAGCAGCGTGCCTTCACCTCGGCGTGTTTTTTTGCTCAGCCATATGCTTGGTTTCTTATGTTTTGTTGCAAAAGATATGGGCGGGAGCTTCTGTACATAGTCATGTAGTGCACGCTGCGTGGGCTACTCATGCTTAACGGGCACAGTACACTCTTGAGGGGGTCATCAGGTTGGAAACCATCCGATGTTGGGAAATATGCCCTGAGTTGCTTCAAGGTTCATCGGAATTTGCTGTGTTACAACTTATGTCGCTCCTTTCTTTGTTTGGGTCCAGCCACCGTCACGGAATTCGTCGCTGCGGTCTTCCCAATACCTTGGTCCAAGAGGCTTGGCTGATTTGCCAACAAGCTGAGATTGCCCGGCTGCGCTATGCCTGAAAGTGTGAGCTAGGGTGTCAATTCTTTGTGCTGCTGCTATACAGTACCTGTGAGGCTGGTTTGCCAAGCTTATCCACCTGGAACCACAACCATGCTAATCACACAGTTTGGATGCTTGAAGTCATGGTAGACCTCGTTCTCGGCATTTTGGTTCACCATACCTTAGACAAAATGACGCACCATGCCGCTGCAAGTGCACGCGCCACTTCAGCGTGTGCTCTAAGCTGGATGTCAGTTGTGGAAGCACATGGGGTGAACAAGTGCTTAAAGTCGCACACTCTGACATCCTGGTGAGGGTCCATGCCCTCATTTGCCTGTGTATGGAGATCTACAAGGTGTGATTTCCTGTCTTACTGACCTCTTCATTCCTTCCAAATCCCTTTGTTGCTTCTGATCCAATTCCTCATCCTTCAGTCGGCCGTGACTCGCCTGGAGATGCCTGGAGAGTACCTGTAGCCTTTCCAAACTCTCAAACTGTTTGGGGGCAAGAATTCTAGAGAGCGTCCTACATTAACCAATGAAGGCCAAGACATGTCTAGCTGGCTCGGTGACTTCAGGTCGTGCGGAATCAGCAATGGGTGCCACCTTTCTCAAAACCCATGCTGAAACCGGAGGTCAGGAACTCGCGACGGGCATCTGATCCTTAGGTGGCAGTTCAAAGCAAGGCACGTTCCATGATCTTGATCGACAGCTTCATGTTCTCCGAGTAGGTTGGGTCCGTGTCAGACTTCTTCTTTTTCTCTGAGACGTCATCGTAAACAGACTTTCCACCTTTCTTGTCCTGGGCTGTGGTGTCTGGATGCAGGGCGAAGGTTTCCGAAATAGTGCGCCAGTACTTGATTAAGAGCAGACATCTTATCCTTCCATCTCAGCTGCTCACGAGATCACAAAACACAATGTTTTTGCGGTCAGGCATCTTCCTTTTCCTTCTCCTGCAAAGGCACCGTGGATAACGTGTTCAGCTGACTATAGCTGACTCTCAATCCAATTAGCGATCAAAAAGGCAGCCGCGAAAGCAAGCCGCGGCTGCTTGACAAAGTTCGGCTTGCTGAAACTATGTTGTGGCAAGCATTCTTTCCATTTGGCGCACAGACCTCCGCAAGCATCGTCTTGCTACGCCAGCCTTGGCGGCTTCGATATCCGCCATGTACTGATCAAAGATCTCCCACTGCGTGACTGTGCCATCATTCCTGCCAGGCGCGCATGCACATGCATTCTAGCGAGTGGGATGCGGAAACAAGTCATTCAAGCAAGTTGACTGCAGGCATTCAGCATACAAACAGTCAAGCTAGTCAAGCAAGTGGATTTGGGCGACCGGTGTACCTGTTGCGATGAGCAATGTGACGATTCGAAGATGGCACTCCCAAAGTCCAAAGAGTGTCCAAAGCAAATTTCCGAATGTGTACATTCCAGAATCGAAGTCACAACATGGTGATGCGGCTATGCAGTGCTTTCAATGCCTTGTGGTCGGTGGCGGCTCAGTCGTCCAGCTTCGTTCCCCTGGACAGACCAAGCGTAGGAGTCTCTCAGAGGCAGGGGCGCGCCCTGTGTTTTATCTGAAGAAAGTTGTGTGCGATGCTGTTGATTTAGAGTCCGATCCCACAGCGGATAGTTGAGAACTCTATATGCCTCTGATCCACCAAGCCCTGCAAAGATTGCAAGCGCAAACCTGTTCAAGACAAGTTCTTGGCAAATGCTGGCAATCAAGTCGCGAAGCAGGGCATTCTTCGATTGGGCCGCGCGTTCGGAGAAGTTGAATTGGTTGCCTTGATAATTAACGCAGAAGATGCAGTGTCTGCCTTGATACTAGTAACCCACACCATCAGGAATGCCACTGCGCAACAGAAGCCTTGTGTGCTAGAGATTGCTCACAATGCAAGAAAAAAGAAACAAGCCGCGGGTTCAGACATAGGCAAGGGGTTTGCCGCAGTGCGCTGAACCATTGTCACAGCTTGTGCGCAACTGTGCATCAGTGCCGCTGAGTGTCGCAATGGGTTTTTCACTGGCACTTCCTCAAGCAACTTTCAGGAGGAGGCAAGTGGTGGGAAGCAGGCAAACCGGCCCCTCCTTGTCGTTCTCTGGCGGGTCGAAGTCCTCGTCGATGGCTTCGGCCTCCTCTTTTTCATTCTGCTCCGCCTCCTTCTTCTCTAGCACCTGAGCAAATGTCAGATCAGCTTGGACGACAGTTTAGGTCAGGGCTGAGGCAGGTTTGCTGACCAATGCGTCGAGCGACTCGAGCCTAGAACAACATGCGGAGGTAAGCCTTTTCAATTTCTAAGGAGACTGATGAGCTTGCTGCCTCTGCGGTTGCACAACTTAATTCTTGCAATGTTCTCGGACCATTCAGCACAGGAGTCCCCAGTCACAGTTTCAGCGCCATGTGCAACCTGAGCCCTGAATCGTGACAGCCATGCGCGCCTCCATCTGATCTTGCGCTTCCGGGCTGTCCTTCAGCAAAATTAGGCCATCTCTGGCAAAGTGCATCACGACCTGGTCCACCTGTCGGTTCGCGTTTCTCCAAGCTCCATACTTTCCATGCAATTCCACTGCTGGAGAGTTCAAGCTGAGGTGGCGCAGCTTGTGTTTCATGGTCCTCCCAACGCTTGCATGCTTTGATTCAGGCTCGCTCCCTGCTGTCAAACTTGGTCTGGATTGCATTCGACTCCTAGCGTTTCTGAGGCAGATCGTGCTGCATGACGTAGCGGCCCACATAATCCACCCTCCGTCGCTGCCTGCTCATCCACTTTGAAGCACTTCTCCTTGAAGGAGTACTGCCTCAGTCTGCCCACCACAGCCACGTTTTTTTTTGTGGCTCATTAGGGCTCTCCCAACTTATGTGCTGCAGCAGTGCAAGTCCGGGTATTCAGAAACCGAGGCACGTGGTGTTGTGCGCTGACTGTGGATTCAGCGGGTAGAGCACACGTGGAGGCACCTCCTTCTCGAGCTCCTTCAAAAGAACATGGTCGATCGTCTGAGGCGCCAGTGCACTCAGAAAACCCCACATCATTTGAAGTGTGCCTATCATGTGATCTGGTTCAGCCCTGCAGTAGAATGCCATCAGAAGCAGTCCTCCGGCTCCAGCGGCAGCTGATCGTCTGGCCGCACCTGAGAGCTTTCCGATTCTGGGTGCGTGTACGCAGTTGAGCTTCCTCCATCCCGGAGCATTCCGAGACGCCTTGACGATGACCGGCATGTCGTAGTCATCGCCAAGTTCCTGCTCAGCCTCTGCTCCAGGTCCTGACGCAGAGACGGGATTCCCACTCGAACATTGTCGGAAAAATGCCTAAGTTCCTAAAGTCAGTCAATTTCTGCTTAAATTTTACGTATGTTCAGAACACAGTTTAGAAGAATTACCTTGAAAGAACAACGGGCTGCTCTGGCGATCAAAAACTAGTTCGTATAGGGAAAACCATGAGGTTCTCGATTGTCAATAGGTATTCGGGACGACTCGGGTTGTGATGCGCCGTCCGGCCACACAGACAAACCTTCAGCATATTATAAGGGCGGACTCGTCAGGCCCCAGACACAATGACAACTGACTGCACAGAAGCAAATCAACATAAATTAACACATCAGGCCGTCGCTTGCCTTCCGGGGGAGGTGTACTCCGCTGTTGGGCCTGGACGCATCTGGGCAGCTAACATAGGAGGCGACGGCAGCAACTCTTGAACCGATGCGATGTCACACAACACAGGGAGACCTGGCAATTAAGAAACTCATCAGTACCGGCAAGAGCACGCGAGCAACTCACAAGCAACTAGTACCTAGAAAGCTAGTCCGAAAAACTCTCCACATCTCTCCACCACTTGCAAGCACCCACCTTCGGCGCCGCCTTGGGCGCCATGGCCGAGGCACAGCGAAGAGTGTGATGGAGGAGCAAAGGGGAGGCGCAATGCTCTGAGCCACAGCAATCGTTGTCATCGTCATGAACCTCAATCCCCTACACTTCTGCACATGGCCCTATGTAATGGAGGCATACTTCGTCCTCTTCGAACTTGATTTTGTCATCAGTTCCGAAGCCGGCAAGCTTACCGTCAGGAAATGACTCTGGGTGCAAAAGCGAGTGCCAAGGGCCTCTTCTTGCTCCGGGTTCTTGTCCGGATGCCATTTTATCTGCCAGTTCTTGTGCGCCTGGCACAAGCAACACTCTCCGCTGGTTCTGGCAACCTTTGCTGCAATGACAGCCACAGGCTGATCTCCCGTTGCTCCACAGAGATGCACATCAGACAATATTGGGTCGGCGCATTACATTCTTTCTACACCAGAACGGGAGCAAACCCCGAACCTTTTGGGCTGGATTGCCCCATGCAGCATAGAATTAAAGCAAAAGCACGCAACCAACACACACACACACACAAGCCTCATGTGACACATGTCCTCCCTGTTTGCCTTCTTTCGGTCTGCTACCGATGCACCGTTTTTGATCATCTCCTGCCCAGGAGGGAAGCTGTGCTGCCATAAGCACCTATGGTTCATGGTTCATGGCATGGCCGCAACATGCAGTTTCAATTCCTGGCGCCGCCAAGCTCTTAACAGCCGACGTCTCTGTCAACACTGATCTTCTGTGCACTGTTTGCACCTCCATTTCCTGCACGATGCTGCATTTCATGGCCTCAGGTTCTGTACATTTAGGAGCGACAAATGTGCTCGTTCGGCACGGTTCCTCTTTTCCCCGTGCGTAAGGTCCTGACGAATGCAATTTGCTCCTGCGCAAGCAACTAGCTACTGGTAGATGGATCTGGCAGGCAAGTGGACGAAGAAATTTGAGGAGGTCAGCGTGTGATTGGGGCTCAACAACCAACACTCTACATCTCACGGGCTCAAAGCAGAACAGACTTACTGTATGGTGGCTGTACCACAGCCCGGCGCGGGCACGCGTTGGCTTAGCCAGCCTTTAGTTGGGCATCGTAAAACGTGGCCCACCTCCATGCTTGCATGCAGGCCTGGTGGAACCTCAGCACGGTATGTGCGACAGAGAGCTTGCTTGTACTGAGAGTAGCTGGCAAAGAGTTCATCCCTCTCAGCGACATCAATCATGCAAGCTGTGCTACACAGCGAAAACCAAGAACTTCAAAGACAAATGCACGCGGCGAAATTTACCGCTGACTGGACAGCCGCCGTACGGCACAGAACGGCGTCTGTCTCTAAACGCGAAATCAACACCTTTGGCTCAACCCGGGGAGCAGGCCATACCAGACGCAGCACTCTCTTGTGGCGGTTGCCCCGCAGCCTCTCGCATTTCATCTTCGAAAGGCTACATGGGATTGCTCATGGGACTGCGTCGGGTGTTGTTGACACATGCTCGGCCATGAGCTAACCTGGCTAGACTCAACTCGACGTCTTCGTGCCGATCTTATATCGGGTTCACCTGCCATGTTTCGCAAAGAATGCATTTTTCCTTGTATCCTATTTTCCTTCTGTCCAAGCTTGTAACTTCGCGTCGCGGGGACGCAAAGTTTACTGTCATACCTGTCATACTTGTTTGGATAGTGCGAACAGGGTCAGTCTTGCACCTCTTCTGTGTCATGTGGGGATGCTGCCTTGTGATCCCAAAATCATATGCCCGGTCACTTAAGACAGTCTTAAGACCACCCTGGCCTGCTGGGCCTGCGGCTGCTGCTGCTGCTGATACCAGGCCTTGCAGTTGCGCAGTTTGAGAGAGAGGCCGCGACGCTGATCGCTCGAGGTATCTCAGCAACTGTCATGCCTGATATTCAGTGTGCGTGTGTGGGTGTGTGTGTGTGTGTTGTGTGTACACAAATATGTATCCTGGACTTGCTGCACTGGTCAAACTTCCTCAGAAAATCTGGGCTTGGCCGGTGGCAAAGTGCTGGGCATAGAGCTGATCCCACCTTAGGAGTTGTGAACCTATGGTGTGTGTGTGTGTGTACGTGCCTCAAACCCAACAGAATCCTGCTGCCGTACCGCCGCAACCGGCACAGTTCCACTTTATGGCAACTGGTCAAGTCTCAGCCGCTGTTGCCGCTGTGCCCGGGCTGCTTCCTCCGCAGCCTGCATCTGCCGCAGGGCATCCTGTTCACTTTCGACTCGCAGACTCGCAGCAGGCAAGGACCCCATCCCGACGAGACTCTTTGGCACCAGCGCATTCTGGCCAGCACTCCCAACTGAGTTGCCCCCGGCGACATGCACCGAAAATACTGCCTTCACCTGAAAACTGTACACAGGATTAATTACGTTTCAACAGGCCCTGATTTCAACAGCGCGAGCCTGTGCTGGTCCATACCAGGTTGGGGGCGTCCGTAAACCCTGACAAAAACACAGAAGCTGCCCATGAGTGAGTTTCTGTGGCAAGATTCAGCTGGAGACTGCCTTCCTGGCCATGAGTTGGGCCATCTTAATCGCATCCCAGACCTGCGCGTTGGAAGGCTCCGACTTCTCAGCCTCTAGGAGTGCAGGAATGGCGTCGGCATAGCGCTGCAAGGCGTGAAGTCTGATGCTCTTCCGGAACCACCCCTTCGGGTTCATCGGCTCGACCTGTGTGCACGACTCTGCATCAGCGAGGGCCTTCTCTGGGTCGCCCATCTTGAGCCAACACTTTCGCCCAAGCAGCTCCAGACTCGGGTGCAAGCTTGAGTGCAAGCGAGTAGAATGCAGCAGCTTGGCTGAAGTCTGCAGCGCGGAACATCTCGTTGCCAGCCAAGCGGTGTTTCTCGGCCTTTTGCCACGCCTGTTCGCCACCCGGAGCTGCCCCAGGTTCCGGTTGATCAGCTGGACCCACTGCTCTATTGGGGAAACTTTTTTTTGCCGCGGTTCACGGGCTCTGTGCCAAAGGCCGTGCCCACCAAGCCTGTCAGAAGCTGACAAGCACCAGCTTTGCCGACCGTTGTGGGGCTTGCTATGCCGCCGAAGCCCCAACAGATGTTGAGGCCAGGCGAGTTCTGGTGATACGCTTTTCCTACGTGGTCACGCTCCGCAAACTTCACTGCTACAGCCTCCTCACACTCGTCCACTTGCAAGGTGCCTAATGTTGCAGCCTCTTAAGTGTGGCCCCCCCCCCCCCCCCAGAACAGCCAGAACAGTCGAAGTTTTTTTTGCCTCTGTTTACACGGTCCTGGAGTTTAAACGGGGCAGCGATGCCCGGCAATTGATTTTAAAGAGGCGACGCGTGGAATTCTTTTAGCGCCCGGTCGGTTTGACTTATATCAGGCTTCCATGCAACCCCAAGACAGTCAGGGTGTCCTGAATAGCCCAGCCAATCTGACTTTGTTCAGGCCTACTAAAGAGGGCGAAACATTAACGGATGGTCCAAAGAAAACTCCAGCCGGCTGCACTTGCACAGCTCTACAGGACGAAGTGGCCAGTAAAGACCGAACGTGGACACTCACGTTTCTAGAATTGTGCACCAAGAGCTTGAGCAATCCAGTCTCCTGGAGCATATGCCACACTGGTACTGCCGCTTATGCGGACCGCCTTTCCTTTGTAGTCCTTTGCCGACAGCTGCACCTCACCACACACGTTTGTGCGCGATACCAACATCTTTTGCGGCTCCAGGCGATGAACTCTGCTCGCTGCTTTGAGTGGCCTTTGAGCTCTTGGATCTCTCTTGCCGCCTTTGCCGTGGGCAGACCTTTCGGGCCGGCTGCAAGCCCAAGAGCCTGGTCATTGGCTGCTTCATCTCGCCTGTCCTGCTCGTCAAGCTCTTGGCAGAGAGCGGAACCCCAAGCTCGGTAGATCGTCATGGCTCACATGGGAACCCAAGTGCAGCTAAAACTTCGAGCCAAATGGCTACCCGGCTAGAGGACTTTAGCTTGGTAGCCAGAAAGCATATTGTGATTGAGGTGGACTTGGTTACTCCTGCAAGAGAACCCAGAACCCAAAAAGGGGAAGGGTGGGCTGCCAATGTAGGGAGGAGTGGTCTTGGTATTCCGTTGTTGCCCTTGAAAGGCTTGGCCACGCGGCTGCGCTACAACGACTTGATGATGCCTTCCAGGACATTCCAGATTCCATGCGATGCGAACCCCGTCCTCGTACTGCTGCCGTTGTAGGCGCGCCGCCTCCTTCCACAGCAGCTGCTGCGAAATTTCAGGGTCGGCAGGGCTTCTCCGGAGGTTTCTGGAGTTCTTCGCAAGCTTTCTCTGCTGACAAATGCCAACACTGACCTCCGCAGCTCGAGCGGCATACAGACCTCCAGATGGCGGGTTCGAAGGTGTCAAGAAACTCGGGCTAACAGATGAGTGCATTGCATTCGCACGCCGTCAATCATTGCAAAAGTGCCACCAAGAATGCCTGTGGATACCTGCTTGCCACAAACAAATTAGCCATATTGAAACCAAGGAGGATCACACACTCGTACTCCCCTTTCTGCATCAAGCACTCTTGAATCGCTTGACATCCCATGACGTGTAACACACACCCCAAAATAATCAGGCAAGGGACCGTCCCAGGCACCACCACTCTGAGCCGGCGCCTGCGCAATTCAGCGAGCCCCCAAAGAAAAGGCCTGCAAGCTACAAGAACCGCCCGAACTTGTGTTAATACAAACCCGCCCATGACGGCAGAAAGATGCAGAAAGCAACACGATACATGAAAGGTGTGGTGACATGAGCCAGAACCGAGCTCTAAGACTGAAAGGGTCACCAGTACGCTGCACCCTTTCTTTCTCTCGATTTTCAGCAGATCCCGTCCATGCGGTGACGAGTTTGATTTTGGTTTGCAAGTCTTGCACTGCAAGGATTCATTGCCTGGGCCATCTCGGGTGGAGGTTCCCAGGACGACTCGCCGGTGGTCTGGTTGTAATAGTAAACATGGCCTGGCCGAGGCAATCCACACCAACCAGAAATTCCAAACTGCAACACTTGGTGCGGGATCCGGTGGCCGTGAAGCACTTAGTCCTCTAGCTTCTGAAGTGCTCCCGCAAACTCTTGGCTAGGCTGAACACAACAGAACACAACAGAACCATGAGATTCGACAAGTCCAGCATTCCTTAGCGCTTCTGGGGACATGGCAATTTATTCACCTACAGGCTTGTCTACTTTTGACAAGTCACCCTCGCAAATCTTTTGGACACAGTGCTGCAAAGGGATAGCAGTGTCACCAGAGCGATTCTTGAGCATGACTGCTGATGCTTTTGTATGCACTTGGTAAGGTACCAGGACCTTCGGCTTCTCACGACTTAATTTTGGGACAAGCTGGTATGCCATTATGATCAGGCGCGCGAGGTTGCCAAAGCTGCACTCGTACATGACCGGCAGCTCATCATCGCAGCGTATCATCTTTAGATGCGGGGAACTTCTCCGGCTTCCCGCGGTATCTCATCTTGCCGGGTGGTCCTTATCACGATGAAAGGAGCTACACAACTCCTTGGCTTGTGCCAGGTCTGGCCGTTGTGACCTGTTGCGGCTCCTCCATTGAGTTCCGCCCCGTTTTTGTTCGAGCTCATACCATCTCGTAGCTTCCTGTTGTACTGTTTTGGAAGCCCTCAGACACCAGCATGTGCTTGCATCGGCTTGCAGAAGACGCCCATGGGCACAGCTACCCAGGCTTCGTTCTGGAGTTCCACGACGCAGCGTTGTTCAAAAGCGGCTTAAGTCTGTCTTGAGCAATTCGCGACATTCCCAAGCTGAATCTTCCCAAGTCGTTGTCGACGGCCTGGCCTCGGCCAGGCCTTTCGTATGTTGGCTACTTTGGCACCTCTTATGGTGACTGCTTGCCGCAGTTGTACCGGCAGAGGGTCGGTGGAGGGTTTGCTTGCTTGCGAGTCTGGCACTGGTGCCATTCGCTTGGCGCGCAGTTCTACCTCAGCCTTCTATCCGCGACCCTGTGGCTTCCGCATGGAAAACACAGAAAACATACTCCGGCTTCCTGACACGTGACACAGAGTTGTGCAGTCACTGGCGCTCACATGCAGCCAAGAACAAGCTCCAAGCCTTCTGCGGTCTGACAGGCCATCCAAGCGCCAGCTGCCTGTCCAACCTGCCGCGACATAGGCTCAAAGAATGCTGACTAGTTGAAGATAAGGTCACAAGTAAGTATGCCTCATTTCCCCAAGCTTACGTGAGAGCACAACAGAAAAGCCATTGCACAGAAAATGCTTTCCTAATATCCAAAACACAGTTGCGAAATCAGATCATGCATATTCCACCGAAAGGCAAGCAAAAGCTTCATCAGGAATATAATCAGAAGCATTCATCTGATTCCACTTCGTTTTAAGCGCAGTCGGGACGGGAGTTGTTCGTAGCATAAACAAAGGTGGTGAGGCCACACTCCTCTGCTCCCAATGTTCAAAGTCGCACACGGGCACGTGTGAACATCCATGCCCCCCTACGGATGTCAGGTCGGGACAGAATCCTTTACCAGCTCCGCATTCGAGCATAGACATGCATAAGACACGTCATCAAATATGGACATGGACATGTCTGCAAGCATTCTTAAACACGAAGGCCATGTGCGCACACATTCTGTGTCGCGCTGTCTCGGCCACGAGAAGGCTATCAAGACATCTCAACTCAAGCTGGGTCCCGACCTGTGGCATCTGCTGATTCTGTGTCGCCTGCGGCTGTTGTGGTTCGTGCAGCCTCGGTCAAAGCTCACGCGATCTCACGTAACGACTGGGTTTGCAAAAGCCTAATCAGCTTGCTCTTGTACACAAGTGCAACAAGGCCATACAAGGTAGAGAGGCACCAGACAGCCATGTGGCATGCTCAGTCTATATACAGACATGTACATACGCAGACTTTGCCAAAATTATACTCTCATGTTTCTCAAACTGAGCCGTTGGCTGCTGCATTTCAGCTTCAGAAGACACCACCTGGCAGGCTTGACATCAGTGCCATCGGTCATCCTGTAGCGGCATTGCTATCAGCTGACATCCTGCATCTGCGAGGTAGAAACAGGTTGCGTGCCCTGCGGCGTGCTCAAGGCAATCGTGGCATTTTTCTTGTAATGATTTCAGACCTAGCGCTGCGCAAGCATGATGCAAACACATATGCACTGAAGCAACAAATGAAATTGGGCGTCTGGGAGTGACATTTGTGCGGGGATGGCAAACATCCAAAAGAGGCGAGAATCGGGGAAACGACTGTCAATGAAACTATCATTTGCGATCATTTGCTTGCGGAGGCTGGCTGCTTTGTTCCTTTCGAGAGGGAGGGAGGGAGGGAGGGAGGGAGGGAGGGAGAGAGAGAGAGAAAAAGGGAGAGAGAGAGAGAGAGAAAGCGAGGGAGGGAGGGAGGAAGGGAGGGAGGGGGAGGGAGAGGGAAAAGCGCCCCCCCCCCCCCCCCCCCCTTCAATGTACCTACCGTTTTTCAGTACTCAGCTTTCTTGCTACTGCGAGGTCCCCTGGCTGCAGCTGGAAGCCATTCTGCACAGTACGGCATTTGTTATTCAGGGTTAGGGCCGGTTCAGGGGCATGGACCAGGGGCTTTTAAGGTTCAGGGTCTCAAGAACTTTCGGCTTTGGGGCTTTTAGGGTTCTGGGGTTTTGCGCCCTGACTCCGCCCTCTCTCTCCTCCCTGGCCCCCACCAGGTGATCTCTCGATTTCAGGAAGAGGGTTTCAGGGTTGAGGGTGTATGTGGATTAGGGGTTTACGGGTTGAGGGTTTTCAGGGTTCACGGCTTATCGTCGCTCACTGACGGAAACGGCAGGCAAGGCTTCGACATCAACTGAGACAAGTCCAACCACAGATAGGGTGTAGTTAGGGTTTCCTGTACTGGTAGGGTTTTAAGGGATTATAGGGTTGAGGGTATCCCTTCTTATTCTGAGCACTTGGGAGCCCTCTTTTTGCCTTCGCAGCAAGCTGGCCCACATAGGCACCATGTCATTCTGCCATCGAGGCATCTTTTCGAAAGTTCTCAGGTCTGCGAATCCAAGACTGTTCCCGCTGCAACCGGTTGACGGCGGTGCAGTGGTGCACACTAACCATCGCACGTGTGACCGTGGAGCGGATGCTTCTGAGCCAGGTTCAGCGAAGTCCCACGTGTGTGTGGCAGAAGCACAACAGTGGTTCTTGTCCCGCAACCGCAGATCGCTTAGAAGTTCCAGCTGCTTGAAGGACTCTGGGCTCAACCGATTTCCTCGTTGATGTCTTCTTGATGCCAAAGCGTGAGATTGTCACGTAGCCTTGGACTGAGATCCAACACGCAAACATACAACTCAGTATGTATGTATCTGTTCCGCGGCAGAAACGTAGAGCGCTCCTGTAGGTACCAGGTCAAGGATGAATGATTCCCAGCTTGTTTAGTCAGAAGGCTAACCGATGATAGCAAGCCAACCCTTCACGCTCCAACTCCGTCGCAGAGGAGCATCTGAAGGGCTCTGGCGACATCGAAACGGTCCATGCCCTCGAATTCCCAGTCCTGCAGCTCAACAGGGTTCTCTGGGTGAATGCAGAAAAAGCAAAACTCAGAACAAGTCAGGCACATGATCGACAAGAATGAAACGACGCAGCTGCACAAACGATTGGCACAGACTTGCCATCTCATGAAAAGCACGGCTATAGAAACAACTTGGCGTTGATTCAGACCAAAGCAAATCCTCGCCGCGCCCCAGATTGAAACCAATAGCGTCCTCAGATGAGCTGCAGCAGTCGTGTGGGGTGCCGGGCATGGAGCAATGACATTTGGCGCAATTTGCCAAATTACGGATCCAAAAGAGATCCGCATGGGGGACATTGAGAAACACTCTCAGACTCTCAGCGATGTAAGGTTGCAGGCTCAGTGGAAGACTCTGGCACACATGAATGTATTCACAGGCGAGCTTCCTCGAAGGCAAACCTTGCAACTTGAATGGCTTGGTCTTTGTCGGCCAAGATGTCATGCAGGAATACCGAGTAATTCCTTGAAAGCAGTGTGCGCCGAAGGCAAGAACGCTACGACTATGGCAATGAATTGAAAACACGATTCCATGCAAGGCCTGGCAACAACTATTTTGCTGACACAAGAACAGAAACACTATATAGTAACAAAGCAATGACTACTGATTCTTACAATTCATACTCATGTGTGCCTCTACACTCTTGAGCTCATGTCCGAATATGCCCGTGCCGTGGGCGAGCAGGCCGAGCAGCAACGCAAGGTAGAGGCGTGCTGGATGCGTTGGCATCAGATCCTTCTGTCTTGATTGTGCCCTAACACATTGCATGGTCATTGGTTTCTCAAAGGCTTCAGTTGCTGGCACTATAGCACGCCCTCTGCTCTCAATTGAATTGCCCGTAGTGGCCACATCTTCAGTTCGTCAGGTCCTACTGACAACACATGATAACACCGATCCCTACAATTTTTGTTTGCCGGCGGCCTCCTGCACTGCCATGGCGGCCTTATAAGCCAGATTCCCACACTGCTGTCTCTCCTCGCTTGAGCAAGACGCATGTAAGGACTTATGTGAAGACCTACAGGGTGTGAACTTGGCTATGCCTGTGAAGCGTCATTGACGTGCCTCAAAGCCACGAATGTCAAGCCAGCCGTTTGAACAAAAAGCCGTCCCATTCATTATAAGATCTTATGAGACGCAAATTGACGACAGCAACGCCTGTACCAGAGGCAGAACAGCCTCAAGCAACCCAGCATGAGTTCAAACTAAGCGCTCCTCCATTTTTCTGGAATCTCCCCCAAGCTCCACCATGTAGCGGTAGAAATCGCCTGTTCGGGGGTTTCACCCACCAACAACGTCAACGGCAAGGTCTGCTCAGCTATCAAGACGAGACTATGTGCGCAGTCATGAATGGGTGCTGCAGGGTCAAGGCGCACGACTGACATGAACAACATAACCCGCACATGCCCGCACGCTGTGCAAGTTTCAAGTGATTCAAGTACTCGCAGCTCTGTTCATCAGACGAAGCTGCTATGCATGGCGTGGCTCATGGTGGCTCACTCCGGCCTGCCATCCGACCATACACAAGACGTTCAAAGCATCCACCGGCCATTGGAAGTAGCCTGTCCTAACAGGAGCCCATGGACTTATGACTTCTTGCTTCTGAGTGCCAGTATAAACATGGAAAGCCTTCGGCCCAAAGACGCTGCAATCCTGTTGAACAGCCATATCCTGTAGAGATAGAACCGAACCCGGTGACCCGGTGCTACCACAAGCCCTCTCAACACTCCTCCAGCATCTGTAGTGCCTGTTTCAGGGCTGTTTGGCTTTTCGGTGTTTTTTCGGTTCGTTTACACTGAGGTGAATGCGGGGGGGGGGGGGGGGTGCCTTGGCTGCTTGGTTTTTTGGCAACAAATTATCGTGGTCTTCCATCTTCCTCCATAGCATATCGAGGTCCATTCTCTGCGTCCCGCAAACTGAAGAAACATGTGCGACCACAAAGTCTGTCACTGGTCATTACCATGCAGCTCTCCCATCGTGATGTTTTTGAGGCTTGATCCAGGACGCGAAGCCCTCGCCCACCTTGAGACACCAGGCCTCCAGCTGTGCAGCCTCTGCTGTGGCAGCACCTTCCTCAGCGGCCTGCAGGGATCTGCGAGGCGCCAGCCCTGCTTGAGTAGACTTTGCAAGCGAACAAAACTATAGTGCAGTCCCCTCTGCTCGAACAAGAAAGCTACAAGTAGTAGCCGCTGCACTCCCTGCTGGATTGCCTCTTGACTTTCTGCGCCACTGACAAGCATGGAACTGTTGCAGAACCCTTCCTGACTCTTCGCCGGCACCTTGCGCCATGCCGCGCGGAGAGTCCCACTGTGAGCCTTGAAGACAGAGCCTCGACGTGGCAGTTCCATTTGGACATTGTCGGGTATTTCTGGGTGAGAGGCATGCTCTCTCATGGGACGACTGAAAGGATCGGAACTCGAGCCCTTCCATATCCTTCCAAGGCTTGATGCTTCATCGGGGCAGGTTGCGAACCATAATCTGAAGCGAGAGGCTCAGCAGATGGTTCTCGTCTTTAGTCAGATCTGAATGCTGCTGCACAAGGTCCCTCAAGTGCTCGGTCGCCTCCTGCCCAGGGAGTCATAAGAAAACAGGCAGAAGATGCCTCAGAGGCCTCTGCAAAGAAGACATCAGCGAAGTTGAGTTGGGGCATTTTCATGTTTTGCTTCTCCTCGTATTCTTCCGACTGCGATGCGGCCTGGGCAGCTTCAAGCCTCAGATTGCCAGGACCGAAGCATATGGCCAAAATGACCATGCCAACATATCATCGCACGTTTTAGACACCTCTACACACGCACGCACACACACACACACACACCCCACAAGCTGCTTTCTCGCGATCCTCCCCCCGACGATCAACAACGATCCAAGGCACACACAGGATGAAGGAGGACCGCAACACAGAACCCCCGAGTTTTGAGATTCAGCTGCTCCAAGAACAGCCGCAACACATCGCAACATCCTACATCATCCTGCTGGGGACCCGATGGGCCCAAGAGCCTTCCGTGCCGGGACGCAATGTGCCGCGATCATTCGTGAACACGATGCACCAGGATTCGCTCGAAAAGTCTGCAGCCAGGTCCGTATCTTTCAAGTCCTGTGTGCCGACCATAACCTGCCAAAGGCTTGACTGTAACTGTTTTTGGGGTGCAAAGTTCAAACTCTCATCGCACCCCGAAACTCGCATACAGTACGCACAAGATGGAGGAGTCAACATCTTGCCTTGCCAGATCGAGCACGATGGCCCAGTGAAGGTATAGCGGCTTTGCGCGCATCGGCAACTGTAGCGGACCGAGGCAGCTCAATGTGGCATGCTTCGCCAGAGAGCGTGGTCAGGGACAGAAGCACTACTGGATCTACCGACTCCATGTTGAGGCGACGTGAGCCAATGCTGCAGGTCTAGCTTCGTTGCGACTGCTTGCCTCAGGCCTCAGGCTTGCTGATCAGCGATAGAGAAAGAGAAGTCCGGGCCAAATCAGGTCCCGGGTGCCTTGCCCCCCTGCGGCACGTCCCAGACTGTGTCACCTGACCGGTGTCACCACAGATAAACTGTCAGCACATGGCGAAAAAACCCCTGACCTGTCTGAAGGAAGGTTCCCGTGTCATGCAACCAAAGCAGGCACGCAAGCTTCGCTGCGTGGACATCTGAGCAGACGTGGAACAACTAAGGCAAGACGTGCCTGTCTCCCAGTTGCAGAAGTAGGTTTGGCCGTCATCGGTTGTGACTGGGTACCAGTAGCTGACTGGAAAGACCTGCAACCAAGTGCAACAGAAGGTCAAGTCTGAAAAGCCCAGACTGAGGTCCGACAAAGCTGTCATCATCGGGCCTGTTCCACCGGCTTCCGCACATCCTTGTTGGGAATGTGCTGCACCTTTCTCGGGTGATGCTCTGAAGAAGCATTTTTCTTTCTTCGGATTCTATAGTATCTATGCAATGTATGCAGAAGTATGCACGCGCTACAATATTTCGCGAGTGATCTCGAGATCTGACAGCCGACAACTCTTCAATTAGAGCACAGATATGCTTCATCCACAACACCACGGCCTCGTCCAAAGTGCTATAGCTGCTATACCCAATGCAGACTCTGATGTAGTCAGCTAGATTCCTGAATCCTGACGCGCATGTCGGCCGACTTTTCTCGCAGATGGCATCTTCTGAGGACAAGAACCTGAATGTCAGGGCTGTCCAAGAGACCAACGTGAGCCGTGCGCGGCTAGTAGTTGCGTGTGCCACCGGTAAACCTTTAAAGACCATGGGCTAAAAGAATTGCGCTGCCAGTCTAGCGGGCACCTGTGGGACAGACAAGCTTTCATGCGTCAATCGAGCGTCGTTGAGGGTCCGGTACCGTTGCGGGCCCTGCTAGGAGTCGCTACTGTAAGTGTCATCTCATGGTGAAAAGTAACAACCGGCTGACTGGCACGGTTTTAAGTTTTTTTTTGCGAGCCAGAAGAAACCAGAAGAACCCCAAAACCCTGGAAGAAGCCGAAAGATGAAACAGAAGCCCCAAAATTGTGAAAGTGGAAGGGTGAGCGAAGGGAGCCCATGCTGAGGGAGGAGGGAGGAACAGAAAACAACGAACCAGCAGCAAACCCTCCTGGCGCCCCTGGGGCCTAGAACAGCGAGTTTGCTGCTGTTTCGTTGAGGGGGGGGGGGCTGGGGTCTCCCACCCTCCTCCCTCCCCTTCCCTCCTTGAGGCACTACTCCTTCAAACCACGACCCTTAATCTGTATTTTCGGGTGAACTCGCTGATTCGGTTGTGTTAAGGTGTGCTCGGGTGAGCTCGCTATGACCCGGGCAGGGTGGGGATGATCGAAGTGGCAAGTTTCTTGTGATTTGGCCTGCTAATTTCGAACTTGTTCGATCTTCCTCTCTGCAATGTACATGTTTCCCGTGTTCTACATGCCTATCTTGTCCATGACCCTGATGTTGAGGCATCCTCACACAGACAAGATCCGAAGAGCAACCACCTGCGGACGCAACAAGGCAAAATTATGCCACCGTGAAACACTCCGACGGATGGGAGGATATACACTTGAAAGACTTGAAAGGGCCAGGCAGCAATAGGTTCAGCATTTTGCGAGGCATGGCTATGGAACAAGTCTAGTCAATTCTAGCCACCTGAAATCTCCTGAACCATTGGTCGAGTCTAGTCTCTTGAACCATTGGCACAAGCTGAGGGGATGGGCTCTTCAGCAGCTGGTGGAAAGAGGGGTGTGCGCTGAATTGGGCTATGATCGAGGCCGTGCAATACGGGTTCTGAGTCGAGCTGAAATTTGTCCCTGGACATGGATATCACAAAACTCTTGGGTGCAGGACTTCCTGCAACATCTATGCTGCACCGACTGCTTGCTCAGCCCATGCGCGGCGGCTGAGCAGCAGGAGAGTTGTCCGTGGTTGCGGCAAGCCGTAGGTAGGTCTGTAAAGCAATTTGGGCTCCACTACCAAAGAACCCCATTGAGGATAACTCTCGTGACTTCAGACTTTGCTGTTACTCGATTGGCGAGACTGGATCTTGCGGCTGCCATCAGCCCAAGAAAAGGTAAAACTGCCTACCTCCTTGAGCAAGAATGACAGTACCGTTGGACCGAACTCCGGATGTGTTTTTCGAACCTCAACAATGACCCGATGGCATCGGTGGGGATGACCACCTCTTGTGTGTCATCCCTCGGACAACAGAGCGGTTGGGTGTTTGTACCAAAGATCCTTGAAACGAGCGGTTCTTGCAGGCCCTGAGAGATTCCTCTCCTGCATCTTTTGGCTACCGCTTCATTCTACGCTGCACCGATCTGCTGCCCGAAAGTGTCTTTCGCACGCATGTTTGCGGGAGCTTCAAGGGGCCCGAGATCTTCGGGCCAGGAGGACGGCAAGATTCACACAGGCGTGATAGGGGTAGCAGGAGCATCGGCTTGTAAGCAGGGAGTATGTCTCAAATGCTGGAGGGGGCTTTGCTTGGCAGGCAAGGCTGTACCCAAAAAACCGAACCAGTGAGGGCTTTGACATCTATCTAGCCAAAAACAATAGCTTCCTCCTCACCCGACGTAGCAGGTTGGGCAGGTATACGCAAATCAGGGTCCGCAGTTTGAGTTTAGGCACGAGAATACGAGACCATCTATAATTACTCGAAAGTTTGCGAGCTTAGGATTTCAGAATACGGAAGCGTCCGCCCATGTTACTCGGCCGACCTCATACCACATGGCTGGTGCCTCTGGCATCCTCCACGGCAAAAGTCAGAGATTCCCTTGGTGCGCACATCACTGAAAGCACTGTCTGTGACTCACCGACAACTTGCCATGCTACTGCAATCATGCTGCAAGCTGAGTCAGTAGTATATTACGTGCGGTAAGTCGTTCCACCCAGTTCCTTCCAAGCCTCGGTCATACATCATAATGCAGCCAAAGCGCAGTTGCCTTCGTATGGCCGAGACCGTCTTGGCGAGACTTCGGATGACCTGCCGCGTCACCTTGTTTTCGTGACCTCGCTTGGGGGCTTGTGGGCTGAAGCAACTCTTTTTGCGCTCATCAACAAGTGAGGACAAGACCTACTTCTATGCAAACTGTCCCACTTGGCAACCCTTTCCGTTTGCAGGCAAAGGACTCATCTGCGCTAGCTGGAGGCTCTTCGCTGGACCATGAAGCTGCATGCAGCCGGACACGAACTCCTCAGTTTGTGGGGGGCATGTATAGTCGAAGTTGCAGTTTGAAAGCTTCTGCGTCAATTTACACGCTACATTTGTTTTCAGTCCACACTTAGTTACTAAGGTGTGAGGACCATTTAATAGCCCAGCAACATCCAGGTCAATCCATCCACTGTGGTCCGTGTCGATAATCATGAACAACCTCAGCTGAGACAGGTAGCGATCATCTTGCGCACGTGAACAGCGGTCCACCACCCTGAGCTCCGGTTGGGGTTCTTGAAGCTTCCGGGAGCTGCCGAGAAGATGCTGGCGTGTTGAAGGCGGCCAATCAAAGCAACGGTATAGTAGGTCAGCTATTTCTGCTATGGTGTGGAAAAGTCAACCCACGTGCAGGCCTCATCAGTGTGACGCAGTACGTTTACAAGCAGTAGTTGGGCTATATCAGGCCATATCAAACTTTGGCCTGGCTCCTCCACGCCAAGATCTAGAGCGCATCGAAGTTTGCCATAATGAGCGTCCAAGCAGCGTCGACACATCCTTCAGGGTTTGCTGCCCTACCATAGCCTGTCTCAACATACAACGCTTCAGGAAACAACTTGCTTTCCGAGGATGCTTTTGATCCTCAAGGCCAGGAGTCCCAAGCTCCCAAGAAAAGCTAGTGTACAAAAACCTACGTAGAAGATCGTAGAATGCTGACAGATGTAAAACCCCTGCTAGCAATGCCTGAAGCCTCGTCAGTGTTTTGCGACCCAACATGAGCTGAGGTAATTCGCATGACATGTCCTTTCACAGCTCCGCGCCACACCCTCATGCACACAGAATATCCTGCCCCCGTCTGCGTGGCTAGGGTTGCTTTTCTTGCTGCACCTCAAGGCCCTCCTTCAGTCACTCCGTTTGCGATGCGTAGTGAAGGACGAAAGCTCTGGCGTGCAAGCAGGGCCCGTCCCCTTCAATGGGGCAGCATCATGACCATGCACAAGTCTCCATCTTGTTCCCTGCGGGCCACACTGTAGCGTCCCTGCTAAGCAGCAGCCTTGGTGTCGGTTTGGTTTGCTGTTGTTACCGTCTCTGCACTACGCCCGGAGTGCCCATCAGCAGTTGATCTGGAGCGTCAACCCGGAGATCTACTTCGTTTGATTGTTGTTGCCATGAGAAGCATGCACACTTTGTTGGCAATGGCCTACTGGCCTACTGATAGCAGCCCTAGCCGACAAAGCCGGGAAGAGAATGACAAAGTGCAGGACATTAGTCTTCGCATTTCTCAATGCTAAACACGTACACTGGCATGACTCTGTGATATGTATTTGCTCTTGCTCTTTGCAGATACACTACTCCGCCCGTCTCAGCCTCTGCACCCCAAAGATGTGCCTGCCTGGGTGGAGATGCCCATAGATTCCAGAAAGCTCGACAGCTTTTTAGCGCTGAGCGCTTCCTGCAACTCCGCCAACGTCACAAGGTTGGACCTGACAGTTCTCAGCCCATGGTCGCCTAGCTATCCTCGTTCCTCATCGCTTGGAGTGCCTATGTTGGATCTGAGACCACATATTGAATACAGACGAACTAGACCAGACGGCTGAAATTTGCTGTACGAGGTCTCGAAGGATGCCGTGTTCAAAGAACAGGTTTTGTGTCAGGTCCTTCACTGCACTCAATCGTTATTTGATTACATAAGCCCGCATCTCACGGCAACGAGGTGCTTGTCGTGATCGATCTCTTTGAAGATGTGACGCAAGGCCTGTACTTGAAGGTCGTGCTTGCCTTAGTCTGCAACAGCCCCTGCGTGCTTCGGACTTGAACTGAGCTTGTCTTCTATCAAACCATGTACTGGGACAGGAGCACTGCTAGCCTCATATGACGTGATACTTAACTCGGTACCAGAAGCAGAACTTACGAATGCGTGACATCGCAGGCTGCAAAAAGCTGGTGCAGTGCTACTGAAGCAGGCGTCGTCCAATTTCAGGTTTCGCGTTGCTTGCGATGCAGCAACTTGCAGGCAAGCAGCGCATTTGCCTGAGTTGCGATTTAGCCCATGGACAACATTGAATCTCGCGAATAGGTTCTCTTACTATGATGGAAGGAAACATAAAAATGATCCCGAAGCACGACCCAGCTGCTTCATGATCGCAATGTCTTTGTCACTTTGCGCGGACTCAATAGCTGTGTTGCAGAAAACGCCAGTTACTACCTCGCGCGCACTTCGTCAAAATTTGACATCATGACATATCATGACAATGCTACAAACTACGTGCTCGCACCGTCTGCATATGGCTTTCACTGACACTCAACGCACCAGGCAATGCTTAGCCATTGTGTGTTTCGCAATTAGCTACGTTCCTGGACCATGCTTGACAACTGCAGTTCACAAATCTGAGTGCGTGGCATTGAGCACCGCAAAAACCGAAACAATGATGTACCTCAGCTGATATCATGGGTTTTGTGTGACACTGGCGCTCGATGCCACGTAGCACAACAACTTATAATTTCGCATCTCTCCACCACTATGGCATTAGTAGTAGTGGCGACGGCGTGGCAGCGTGGCAAATGCACGCGGATCCCACGGAGGCGGCCCAGGCTCCCAAAATTTTCAACGAGTGGCATATTGCACGAAGGCAACAGAAATGAGCAGTGAAAAAACAGCGCAAGCATGTGAAGAGACATACGGTAGCTCGACACAACGAAAGCACCCGAAAACTTGAGAGCAGGGGCGAGCGAGAGCTATAGGGCCCCGAAGGTGGTGCCTCCTAAGCACGGCTAGTAGTAAGCTAGCAGGGCACACATTACTTTTCGAGCAACGCGCTTGAGGGTTCTCTATTTTCCAGATCGTGAAGAGCAGCCCACCACTGCTGCCACCGCCCTCCCCACCCTCACCACCACTAGAAGCTCCACGTTAAAGGTAAACGCAGTTGTGCTGAAGTTTAAGGAATACTCCTTGCACAGTGGCACTTAAGCAATATTTGAGTCATGTACTGTAGTTTTAGCCATAAGCTATTTGGTGGCTACCTTGCTTGGACCAAAAGGGGGGATGAGTGACACTGAACCATCCCTGACATATGGGTGACCACGTTCGCGAAAAGTGAACGAGCTACCAGCTCTTGCAGCGGCTTACAGCACATCGTTCGGCTAACTCATGCCGGTTGCACATGTGGCAAGGAAGCGACAACCTTCCACTTATGCAGCATGCCGGCTGCGAAGTTGTACAGTAGTCACGAGTGCCTATCACGCCAAGGTGCAGGATGAGGAGGGACGTGGCTATCCCTCCAACTTCCCGCAGCGGATCCAAGGCATCCACCCAGTCTGCAGCCAGATGCAAGTGAATGCATGCACTCATTCTTGTTGGCTCGCTGTTGGTTTCTCGTATAGCCGAAAGGCGACCTTTGAGTAAGAGCAAACAATGCACCTCGTGACAAGCATGGCTAAGGGTTTCTGTTTCAGAGACCTCCATGCGCCCCCTTCCCTCCTCACGGACCGAAACTGCGCAATTGCGTGAAGACTGACACTGCGCTTCCTCTAAGATTCAGTGGCTCCCAGAAGGTGCACAAACAAAGAATTCGCAGCTATACGGATGCCTCACCCCTGCTTCTCAATGAGCCAGGCAACTCATGCCACCTGAAATCGCCGTGAAGAGAGTGAGCATGCTCTCGTCGACAGACCTCCAATACCTCACATTCGAGGAACTGAGCACCTCTTGCGATAGTTCGGCATAGCAAGACGATCAAGACGTTCTCTCGGATCCGCTCTGCTTCCTCCAATGCTTCACATAGTATAGCACGAGTAAAGCCAGGGCACGGAGCCAGCCAGGCGTCAGCACTATAATACTACGAACAAATACGAGAAAGGGCGCCTTAAATGAATTTCCACTGATTTCCCGCCCGGGGGCTTGCTGAGGAATGGTGGGCACTCCGGCACCGCATTCAAGTTGTCTTGCGTTTGCATTGTCATCTCGCGGCAGTAGTCCGATACAAGCTGGGTGAAGATCACGCCAAAGCCTTCAGAAGCTTAACAGGCTGCTGAGCAGCGCCAGTGGCCCAACACCCATGTGCGCTACTGCATGCTACTGAGCTGCAGAAACACGTCCAACGAGGGATGCTACAGGCTCGTGCAAATGCACCCCGGCATTTCAACAAGAAGAACATGTCAGGCGGCTCCGACAGCTCACCTAACTTTTGCCATGTGCGACGATCTACTTCTCGCTCAGGCTGGATGGACCACAACAGTTTAACAAACCTTCCGGGCCACGTAGCTGTAGAACAGCAGTAGCAACAACACCAGCGTCCAGAAAAGGGAGCTCATAGTGCTCACGATGGAGAACACGAGTGTTCGCAACGCGCTCACGTACCTCAGCGGCTGCAATGGGATCATGGTGAACCTTTCGCTCGGAGGCTCGGAGGTTCCAAAAACCTGAAGGGAGGCAAATGGCGCAAAAGCATCCTAGCTACCACAACGTGACCATCCTGAACCCATAGCCTTCTCAATGCAGTTCAGTGGCCGAAGCAGTCGGATTACCCGGATGCCTCGCAAGGCACGGACGAGCCGCATGGTCCGCATGATGCCTTGGATGGGCCCAGATGTGCTTTGAGGAGGGTCTTAACCGAAACCTTCTGTCCGCAGGTGAGGCTGTCGAAAGCGAAGAAGCTTTTCGCTGGTCAAAAGTGACAAGTTGCACCACACAACAATAGCCGGCTCACCAAGCAAAACACAAAAACACAGAGGGCAAGTTCTGAACATGCGACGTGTCATGGATGCGTTACTCGAATGATGGTCTCTACTGCGAACATGCCAAGTCCGGTTTTGAATAATGCGAAAAACCACGCTGTTCGCGGGGCTCTCCTGAGACATGTCCTCTCTCTCGCAAATTCAATCGTCTTTGAGCTTCTTCATCAGCAGCAACATCATTGTGGACCCTGGCTGTGCGCGCAGAATCTCTTTTCTGTATATAAGACATATATACATAACTTACATAACAGTGGCTATAAGCTTCAGCTGCATGATGCACGGCCCGGGAATGGTAGCTAGAAGCCTTTGAAGCTGCAGGTATCACTTCGAACTGCATGCAGCTTCGCTGCGGAAGTGGCCCGAGGTAGAGCCAGCCTGCGTTGTGACGACAAGGTCCTGCAGAGGCGATGGAACATCCTGTATATATTCCGAAGTCGTCCAGATAGCTACAGCCAGTTTGAGAACAGCCCCAGTCCCGATGAAGCCCCTACCGGGCATCCTCCCAACAAAATCGTTTAAGATCAGGAACAACGGGGGAAAGCAGTCATAGCAACAATATATACATGAAGTTGGAAACCAAAAAGGGTCACCTCAACCTCAACCGACGTGGAAGTCAGCCGCTTCCCTGGCACAGGACGGTCCCATATGTCTACGGCTGTCTCGAGCACGGACGAGAAGATGACTATAAAGTCCAGGCTGTTCCTGTTGTCACATGTGGCGTAAGGCGGTGCGGCATTGCCCCATGTAATTGCAACTGCCAATGGTAGCAAGTCAAAGCGCATCCGAGAATCCACAATGCATCACGGCCGCAGAAGAAGCCCGAGCAACCAAACGCAAAGAACTTGAGGAAGAACTCCTCTCGCGCGTTGCAGTTTTGCCGGTTGCCAAGAGAGACAAAAGCAAAACTCGCAGAAACCAAATCCTGCGTTCCCGTTGCGTTGGCACGGTACTCAGGTGTAGCATCCCTGCACTTTTGCCAGTGCGGCCAGGCAACAATGAGGAATACGCCCACGATGAGAGTGTTGGCGATGCCATATGCTTTGGGAATATCCTAAGATCGGAGGTCCACAAAGGGGCTTTGCAAGTGCAAATGCTGGGATTCGTGCATGGGGTGGTCACTAGGTTGGACGATGGAATTCTCAAAGAGGAAAAAGGCCGCAGGGCGATCGAGCAGGTTGCCTGATGTTGGCCACTATGAGCCCAGTCACATCTTGCCCCAGTTGTGTGGCTACGTCGACCTCCACACCAAGCCTGCTTTTCAAATCAGGGCAACCATGCGTCCACATAGACGAACGAACATGAACGAACGAAGCCACAACATGAGTGCCCCATATGTGCCAATATGTGCCAATGCAAACTTCAAAGCCAGCTGCAAGATCAGATTCACCAGGATCAGGAACATAATGCCTTGGATTCCATGCACCCTATGCAACTTGAACATAAACTACTTTGGCCTGTTAGGGTCCACCGACCATTGACTTCGCTTCAAGCGGCTAAGCGGGGCCATAGTGATTGCTTTTTTTGATCCGCTCGCCAACCATTGCTCTTAAAGCTTAGGATGTGCTCAGCCGGCTTCTGTTACGGCCCGACCACATGTGCAAGCGTCATCAACATTGAGTCATTGAGTGGCACAGCAACCTGCGGATCCCAGCGGCAGTTGGTGAACATGGAGTGCGTCACGACGCGAAGACAGAAGACTCGAAACGGTCCACTGCCGAATACGTCCTAGGCTCAGAGCAGAGTTGCTGCCAGGATTCGTCTGTTGAGCAATGATTAGCAGGTACCCCAGACAAAAGTCACTTCTAGTCTCGAGCGGCAGATGCGGCAGTAAGACAGTAAAGACAGTGCTAAAACTTCGATCAGCATCAGCCAGCCTAAGGGTGCCCTAACCTTGACGAATTCTAAGGTGCCAAGTTTCCGTCTCAAGGGTGTTCATCCGTCTCAACTGACCTCAGAAAACAGGCATCCTGCCCATGAGAATGAGATGCACCTTTGGAAGGGGCATGCCTGATTCTGCCTTACAACCTTACATCACGGCTTTCCCCGCATCAAACATCGGTGGAACTGATATATATCTCTACACATGCGTCGTTCTCAACTGTCTCGACTTCGATAGATTGCATATCCGGCTCTCTATTGTAAGAAAGCTTACACCAGAGCATTGAAGCATCCGCCAGTTCCCGTACAGTCTGTGACCAGCTCGCACTCCGTGTCCAGCCCAGACACTCGTGAATGTGCTGGCAGATTGCTGGGCTGCTTCCTGGGAAAGCAGGGGGGAAGAGTTGCACAGGGACGACTTCGGCTTCAGCGAAACGCCCCCACTGCCATGAGAAGCAGCTTCGCTTCCATGATGCAACTATTGCCACTACATCTCGGGAGTGAAAAAGTCTGCGCCTCAGCCTTCCTCTGCTGCTCCCTGACGGAACTGCGCACAAAGGACCTTGAATCTGAAGCGAAGTCTGAAAGATGCAACTATATATGCAACTTCTGTACATCCCTGTACCCTTCGATGATTTTGATGTACTTTGTAAGTGGCCTCGCCGGGTCTGTGCAGGTCATTGCAGGTGGACTGTGGTCGGGCAATGTGCCTCGCAAGGAACCTTCTGAAGGTCGGGAGGAGGGTGGGGGTACTATGGGGTACTGTACTCATCAAAGCTGATGACATTCAGGACGAGGGTGCCCTCCCACCACTGCCTCGCACAATCTGCCTTTCACACTGGAGAGTCCGGTTCTAGTTATGTACATAGATGAATGTAGATTCTGATGCTCGGGAGAGCTCGTCCTGCTTTCAGCACCAGGTGTTGAGGCCGGCGCTGCTTAGAACTCCCTCGGCTGAGGGTGGGCCTGTCATCAGGGGTTCGGGACATGGCTGAACCTACGTTGCAACAACAATGTAGCTCGCAAATCCCCTGGAAAGTGAAGTGAATGTCCACCACAACATTGCAGTAGTCTCAACGTGCATTCGCAGGGATTCCAAAAACCACGGGTATGTAAGATGCGTATCGTTCTCGGCCTCTCTCTTGGGCCCTGGTCATCCTCTGAAGGCTTTGAACTGATCACCGTCAACTCGGACTGTGACCTGCCAAGACGAATTGTCAACATCTATCGTCAGTCCTGAAACATGAAGGCGTGTCGAAGTGCTGCCAAAGACTTCCTAAGTCCTAGGTGGCCTGGCATGCATGTTGCACAACTCATATAGTTGCAAAAGTGCCCCCCCCCTTGTGGGGGGGGGGGGGTGGGGGGTGGTCCGGAAATAGGCGGCCCGTGTATTTCGTTTTTTTAAGGTTTCGGGGGGGGGAGGGGGACTGTAGCAAGGCATGTTCTCTCAGAAAGGCACTCGGACAGAAACCATTTTAGCGCGAGCTGTCTTCACCGGCGTCTGTGTCTGCTGCGTGTCTGATTTGGAACCTCGATCCTGAGTGTACGTTTCATGGCCAAATTGAGTTTGTGAAGTGTGGCCCCGGGAGTGTTGCTCGCCCAAACTGGCTAGGCACAGCCCACATGTGACAGCTTGTCCTTTGTTGTGTCTGTTCCTGAACCTACAACACGACGGCGGGCGAAATTCGAAAGACCTCAATGAGTTTCACCCGCCATCGTGTCGCAGCAGGTTCCGGAACAGACACAAGAGGGACGAGCTGTCACATGTGGGCTGTGCCTATCCGCCCCAAAACCCCCTCGCCTTCCCCGCCCATTTGGCATGCGCGTGGGAAGCCTTTATCCCACCTGCAAAGGGCGGGGGAAGGGGACTAACTGTAGCGTGCAAGAGTCCCTGTCTGGCTGTCTGTGGGACGTGTTGTGCGACTGTTAGGATGTTTCCTGGCTGTCTGTGGGACCCTGGGACCGGGAACGCCCCAAAAATAAGCGGGAAGGAGGGGGGCACTGTGGCGCGCAAGAGGCCCTGCCCTTTATGACCCACCCCAAACCCCCGCCCTCGCCGCCTGTTTCTGGCATTTCTGGCTGTCTGTGGGACCCCTATGGGATCGGGAACACCCCAGAAATAAGCGGGAAGGCGGGGGGGGGACTGTAGCGCGCAAGAGGCCCTGCCCCCCCAGAGCCCCGGCTCGCCGCCTATTTCTGGCTGTCTGTGGGACCTTTGTGGGACCCATAGGACAAAAAAGAAATAAGCGGGAAGGAGGGGGGGGGACTGTAGCGTGCAACAGGCCTTGCCCTTTAGGACCCACCGCAACCCCCCCCCCCCGCCACCTGTTTCCAGCCGGTGGAGTCCTAGAGTCAGAGACCGATCTGTAAAGGAGTGCAAAGCATGCCCTGCGTGCCTATTTCTCACTTGCCCTCTACCCCTCCCAAGATTGCGAGACTCCTGTAAAGCGCCCTTCATAATCTGTGTTAGGCCGAGGGAACAATGCTATGCCTGTGTTTGCGAATCTAGTTTGAACATAGGAAAACAAACGCATGACTAAGTTATGTGCACAGCTACGCAGGACAATTTAGGAACTGATCCTTCACCAAACCAGCCCTGGACCCTGAAGCCCAAAGACTCAACCTCTTTACATCCTCAAGACACCAACCCTTCAACCGAACCCAAACCTGGAACCCCTTAATTAAGCTTTCAGCCCCTATCCTCTAAACTCCTCGTCGAAAGGAATGAGTTGGGCTCTACATCCCATGCTGTTTGTTTAACATGCCAGGCAGCCCCATAACTTAAGTTAACCGATAATTCCCCGCTTATTTTTCTACCCCCCCCCCCCCCACTGTTGCAAAATAAGCGGCGCGCAGCCCCGGAAATAGGCGGCGCTGGGGGTTACCCCCCCCCCCCCCCATTGCCAGATTTTTAAGGGGGGGGCCGTGTTGCAAACATGCTCGTGGCTGAAACTCATGCGCCTCTTAGCATGGAGAAGGAGGACTGAGGCGCCCTAACTCCCCTGCCCACATTCCATGAATTCGGTCTACATGCACCCACCTGGCCAGAGTCGGTGCTGCACCTGAAACATGAAGCGAGCGAGTGTACACGGCAACGGCAGAGGTCGAAGGCGCCGAGCCGTCCAGAGTGCGACAGTGCCAATGAAACAACGTGAAACAACCTTTAGAATCTTTAGATCCTCTGGTTGAGACGGGGCGCGAGGCGAGCCTGGCTGGTCTTCGAGCCCAGCAGGCTGGCCGAGTTCCTGTCAGTTTGACATGCCTTCGAAGAGCAGACGTTAGCAACTACGTAGACAGCCTTGCTTCTTTAGGACGTGTAAGTGAGCTAAACATGGGGGTTGCTCCAGATTCATGTCGATCACCCGCAAAAAACAAGGTCCTCAACGGTCTCCGTGGGATTATCTGCATTCCTGGGTATAGTGACGGCTTTGCCATCGGGGAATCGGTGCATCAGCCTTGGATGCAGGTTGCATGCGTTGATCTGCGGCAAACCATTAATGGTTCTGCTGCGATCGCTGCCTCAGCAAGTACATAACATTCCACCGGGTGGCTTCAATTGGGTGGACATCAGCTCCAACATCCGCGCTTGCTTTGCAAAACGACTGTCGATGAACGAGCGCAACTTCACCACCTCCTTGCGGAAGGCAAACCTCGGCCAAGTAGTGTGCACAAATCGGAGGCATGAAGAGAGGGGGCTGCGTCATTCCCGAGTCATGCGCTTAGGGCCCCTAAGGGCTGGCACAGCACTAGGTCAGAGCTTAGGGCGCTTGTGTCCCCACAAGCTTGTTGCTAGGCAAGGCCTTATCCTCAGCGTCCCCTCTTTCAGCCTGCTGCATGCTTGAGCACGTGCAAGGCTTGAAATGCCAGCTGCCAGGTCACTCGTCTCCCTTTGGGCCAAGGTCGTCGACTTCGTCGGCCGTCAAATCAAACTTTAGACTCTGTTGCCGCTCCTGGCTCTGGGACGAGGAGTGCTTGGATGAAGCTTTGGATCTGCATGGTACTAGCAGCGCAGACGCACATGTACTCACCTACTGCTGGCCGCGTCTACCTTGGCATCGATTTCAAATTGAGGTCGTGGCTGGTGCTATCAAGGTCTCCACCTCGATTGGTGGGTCCATGGCGTCCATCGCAACGCTAGGCTCGCGGCCTATGTGAGAAACACAAAGAGACCTTGTGTAAGTTCTTGAATGTCTACAAACATCTGCCCAGGGACGCACAGTTGTGGATCAGCAGTTCTAAGCCATGTCCGTCTTAACAAAATTGCGCAGTATGGGTGGTTAACCCCTTAGCTAGCCGCAATCCCGCCGTTCTTGTTCCCGATTTATTTCTCTTCAATGAGCAATAGGTGCATCCTATGCGCAGCCGGCTAACTACCAATGGCATGTGCACATTGTTTTCGGCACCAGCTGTCTTTGTGCCAGATGTCTGCAATGCACTGCGTGGTACGGCGACATGTGGCATTTGCCATCTCTTGCAGAATTCAGAATACGCGTCTCAACCATTCATAACTCCGCAACTTCATCACTGGCATAACAGTGATCTTGATGCGGACATCACTGAATGAAACATGCCATGCGGCAAGATGCCCTCCCTGTGCCTCTGGTCGCTGGGCTGGTGCAGGCTGCGCAGGCTCAGTTGGCTGTGCTGGCTGCGCAGCCGGAGCCGGCTCCGGGACCTCTTCCTCAGGTTTCCGGACCTGAGGAAGGCAAGATAATAACTTGACAATACTTTCCTTGTTTTTTTCCTTTCCTCTTCCTGTTCACCTGACCGTGTTGTCGCAGGATCATCCATGCGACCAAGGCTTCTGCCACACCCCCTGGAGGCAACTCCCAGGCCGTCTCATCAGTCTCCTCATTGTGGTAGTAGACGTCGCCTGACAAGACAAAAACAATACAAGCAATATAAGGCTTGAATGGCTGTGTATCGAGAAAGGACACGCAAAGCATGCTCCGCGACGCCCACAGCTGCAATTCCAGGCCAGGCGCAGAACATTCTGCGACGGCTGTTTCCGCCACAACACGCTTCCAAGATTCTCCTTCCAAGCCGTTGAAACTTGGTGTGCAGACCGAGCCTTCGTCCGTCTGGACCTCGGTCCAGTAGGACCTCGATCTTGAGTCGGGTGCAATCTTCTACAATAGTTTCGGCTCGCACAACTGGCGCACGCGCAGGCATGGCTCCTCCCATAGGTCTCTAGGCCGCTTCTTGCCAGGGCGAGGCGATCTTTAGGGCATTCTATGGCGCTTCTGTGAGGCTGGCTTTGAATTGTACAGAGCTGTCTTCGGCCCTGGCGTGGCAGGTGAAGCTGCAGAAGCTGCTGCTAAAGGCTCGGTTGCCGCAGCAGGCTCGGCTGCCGCGACCGCCTCTGCTGTGGGACCAGCAGGGCCTGCAGGGATCCTCGGATGTCGGGCGTGTCTGGCAGCATGCACTTTGGCAGCAGTTCTGAGTTCTGCAAGCATGCGTTAAGAAAGCCAAAGATGGTTGGGTGCTGTATTGTGAGCTGTCCACATTCAGCTGAGCGTTTTGCGACACAAGCGAAACATATTTGCACAGACAGAACCCTTTCCTTTCCCAAGTTCACCGCTACACGTGCCACGTGTATGCAAGAAGGGCTTGCTTGTCTACCACCACCGGACACTTTAACAAATTAAACATGCATCGGTATGCCATGGGCGCACGTACACCCAATCAACCCAAGGGAGTATTTTAACTCCCCGTCTGCTCAAGAAACCGCGGGGCTCCTGACAGCAACGAAGGCCTGCCACTTTCCTACAGTAGTCTCTCAGAAGGCTACTCCTATAGATGTCATAGAGCTGATAAGACCCGGCTAGGCCCTGCCCTGTCGCCCTTGAGCCAAGAAACTTGGCCGCTGCAGGTCCCAGTGAAGCGGCATGCCCTGGCACTTCTTCCCCCTCCTCCTTCAACAGGCGTGGAATCGAAGGTGCAATTCACAACTGGCTCAATCGGTTTGCGAAAGCTGCTGATCATTCTCATCATTCTGGCGGTGTGATGCCATTGTTTTGCCAGTTTCCCCGGCAAGACGTCCTTTGCCAGGAAGCCGGGCATCTTGGGCATGGGCGGCCTCTGTGGGTTCAGGATGCGAGAGCAGATGCCAAGACGATCCGACCAGCGGACTGTTGTGTCGCATCTTTATCATCTTTCCGCGCGGAAGTACTGGTTTACCCACCGGCATCTTCAGAATGACAGAGTGTCTGATCATGCAAAAACACACGGCGTGTCAGATATTTCTCGGTTCGTGTTTGTCTTGGGACTGGCTATGTCCTAACCCCTTGTATGCAGCGTGCCCTGTTCGATGCCGTGTGAAGACGGACATTGCCTAGTCTAGCTATAGAGAAAACATCCCATCCCCCCCCCCCCCCCCCCTTATTACCCACGAATACCCTGATACCCTCGCAATTCAGACACACAATCCACAACGACAATTTAGTCAGCAGTCGTTTTTCCAAGCCCCCATGCTTCTGCAGAAGCAGAAATCCGGCAGAGAGTAACTTACCTAAGGCAGAAATGCAGGTCTAAGCCAGCGAGAGAGTAGAGTTCTCAAGGCAGAAACTCCGGCACAAAAAAAAAATGCAAGCCCGGCTTTGTATTGCCCCCAAGCCTGCAGCCCACCCCCATCTCCCCCACAGCCTGCTTAAGCAGAGCTAAATTAAGCATTGGGGCATTGCATGCTCATGTTTGATCTGCTACATACATGAGATATTTGTGAGTGGGGTTGGCTGTGTTTCAGCCTCCGTTTTTGCGTAAACCAGTCAGTGCATGTTCATGCAAACGTACTCGGCATATTGATATGCCTTGGCTTTGCCTCGGGTGGGGCTATATACGTGTTCGCGGCACCTTCTCCTCACTGACTTTTCAGTAGAACGCGACCTTTCAGTACTGTTGAGCCAGGTATTGCCCTTGTTTGAAGCCGTTCCGGCCATGGCTGGCGTAGCCAGCAGACCGGTCTTAGGCGACCATTCAGGCCGAGCCCCCTGGGCGTTAGTCTTTTGGTATTCGCGCCTTTTTTCCAACGCGCTCTTCTCTAATGATACTGCGGTGCTATCGCCCTAAGAGGACCCTTGCGTCTTGCGGTGTTGCCTATTCAAATACGCAAATGCGACAAGGACGCCGGCAAGCTATATACGTCCCACCACGTCATCTGACTTTCTCTGATGCCGCTTTGCACGAGGCACGAGGCGACCCTGCCAGGGCTGAGGCGGTGCTTTGGATTTCCAGGACAGGCCCGGCCTAAGCACACCATCGTGCACCAACACCAAGTGCAGCAAGAGCCTCTTTGCAAGGTGTCACATGCATGCTTTCGGTTACATTGAAGCGAAATAGCAGACACCTTCACGCCATACTTAGCAAAGCACTGTGCCCAAGCTGCACAAGCGAACCCAAGCTGCCCTTGCATCGTATCAGCCTGTCTCAATTGCTCCTGGACTGATCCCCACCGGACAGCGGTGAGCCCGAAGCACCTGCAGCTGCACCTTTTGGCCACGTGCAAAGCAACTCGTGAATTCAGTTCCTGGTGCAAATTCTGGAATAATTTCGTTTCTTTGGGGGGGGGGGCCGGGAGGGCTTTCAAGGCTGCTGCTGGGCATGTCGCAAGGGTTTTGTGGGATTCCAAGCGCGCACGCAAGCCATCTGAGCACTGCGACGAGCCCTGTGCGAGAAGCAAGGCATCAGCCTGTCCCTTCGACACAATGCATTGGGTCAGCAGTGCGCCACGCTTCTCAAGAGCTGTTGGCACGCAGAAGGTGGGACGTCTCTCGCATTTGCGGCGGACTTCCACGCTACCAAGCACTGGCTTGCATATCCATACACGGCACAGAGTCGGATTGAACCCACAGAGAAACAGCACGCACTCAAGAAGCATTAGCAGCCACTAGCAAATCAGACTCGTAAGAATCTCTTGTGCTTTTCCGCAATAAGGACTCTGGCATCAAAGCAAATCGGGCCGGGAATGAAAATCGGAACTGCAATCATCTGCAATGGGTCGACACATGTGACTGGCCTACTCAAAATAGCACTATCAGAGTAACGGGAGTGCAGGTCCGTGTTGAAAATCGTTCCGCGTGCCCATCAATTGCCACTGCCCCAGGAGCCCAAAATCAAGAACTCCGAAGAGGACAGCAGGCGATTCTGTAAGCTTTCAAAAGGCAGTTGCTCAAAAGGGAGGTTTCATGCGGTTGCATCACTGTGCGCAGCATGGTGCAAGATCCTGTCGGTTCTGAGTTTCGGAGGCCTCTGCTCAGGCAAATGCCTGGTCTGAAGGGCACTCTCTTATCATATGTCATAAGTGCTATGGCTGATGGCAAACACAGGAGGACCTTGCAGGGCTCGCTCGGTTTTGCTGGTGTGCCGAAATAATCGTCATCAAGGCCATGTAGCTCATGGAAATCACAAACTGGTAGCACGTCGGCATGGCAATGGCGAAGCTTCGCTTGGATGAAGGGCTTGTGCACAGAACACCAGTGACTTCTGGTCAAAAGGTTCACGCGATTATCGCGATGGTGTGCAATCTGCTGAGACACTTTCCCACCACTGGCAAGCAAACATCCAGCCATCCTTCTTTCGGTTCTTACACCTATGCTTGGGAAGTAGCTGTGGGCATCACACGGTGACCCTAAATTCTGTTTCTTCAAAAGCAACTGAGCTACCATCAGCTTGCAAGAGATGGGTCATGAGCCTCATGCATGCGTGAATTCAATGCGAAGACCATGCTTTGTGTCAGTCGTGGGATGCTGCCGTCATGTTCCATAGTTCATATCATATATCAGTTGCAGAAGGTACCATACCGCTGTGACATGGAGTACGTCGGTACCCTGAGTACACTGCAGATAGCCGCATGCGTGCAGGGCAAGCTCATTCTTGGAAGAATTCCGAGCTGCTCCTACCTTAGAGCAGCCAAAATGCACAGAACGCTCCAAAGTTTGCAGTGGCTTGTTGGCTTTAGCATCCTTGCAGCTGCGCAGCTCATGCTGCGGCAGGTCCAGCCTGGGATGGTGTGGCAAGACAGAACCTCCGTCCCGAAAGTGAGACATGTGAGACACCCACTCTAGATACCATGCTTTTACCGGAAAACTAATTTCTACTCATGAAGCAAGCGCGTTATCAA